TAGCGAGATCCCTTATGTTAACTATTTAATTCTAGAGTGTTAGCAAATGGATACATGTCTCTAAGTCTTCCTTATAATTCCATTAAAATTTAAGAAGTGACTTTGCTGGTCATCACGATCATTGCATATTCATTCACTCAGGAGTCATCACATTTAACACCTGCCTGCCCCTCAACCTCCATACCCAATGCATGAACAAGTCCTTTTCCTATAACTCTCCCAGTTTTCTGCCTCTCCACCAACACCATAACTTTCTTGGTGCAAAATATCACTCAGTGTCTTTTGTCTGGATTACTGCTGTCATTTCCAAACTAATCTACTGTATCCATTTGGCTCCCTCCAATTCATAACCACACTGTACAGAGATTAATGCTTCATATCTAATTAAGCTTCCACCGACTTAATCCCTTTAAAGGCTTTCCAAAGCTTTTAGGATAAAGACTATACCACCCTACAAGACTGATGAGGCCCCACATGGACTGACCTCTACTAACCTCTCCAGTCTTATTTCACTCCAGGCTCCCTTTTATCTCCCTGAACTAGTCAAACGGGCTGTCTTCTCTTCTAGTGGATGCCTGGTGTCTCCAGGCTACAACTTTTGCGGCTCCTGTTCGCTCCACCTAGAATCCTTTTCTCCTCTCTTATCTAGTTACTCCCCTCTATCCCTCAAATCACGGCTCATCTGACACTTTTCAGAGTCTTCCGTGACCATCAAACCTGAATTACACGTTCTCATAGCATCATAGACTTCTTTACGTCTATGCTTGCCCCAGCTGCAATTTTACATTTATTTCTGTGTCTATTTGATTGATATGCAGCCAGGGGACTATGTTTGGTTTGGCTCCTCGTATAGAACTAGTGCCCAGAAGAGTGCTTGGTACACAGTAGGAGCTAATGAACATTTGTGCAATGAATGCATATTCTTAGAGTGTGTTCCAGTTGCAGGGGCTCATGCTTAGATACCATTGGGAGTAAATGTAATGCATAGAAGTGTATGATATAAGTTGATGTCATTGAAAGAGGTGACAGTGTTGATTTCAGCTTTCAATTGTGTAATAAGTAATAACACAAGTACTGTTTTCATTTGAATAGGTGTATGCTATTTCTCCACTGGAGAAACCCCCGGGACCATAGATTACCCATAAAACTTTGCCTCTGTGGTTTAAACTCTTAAGTGGTGTCTACTTTATACATACAGGCAGTCCTGGGTTGTGGGAGCAATTGAGCCTGCTTGTTTTTCTATTAGCTGTCATGAGTTTTTGCTCCATTTAGATTGGCAAATCCCTTTTGCAGAGACTGTTGTCCGGTTTTTACTCTGAATTTTCTAATAGTCCTCAACCACAGCAGAATTGAAAAACAAGACTTAAAGAGTTTTAAAATAGGATAGGAAGAATACACATGGGTGCGGTTTTCTTACTTTCCTGGTGTGTGTGCTGTAGTGACTGCTAAGTGGTACCCCTGAAAATCAGGTGGTCAGTGACTGTCTAACACCATAGTCTTAGAAGTATCCTGGGACTAGAATTAAGTCGTCAAGGCACCATGATTGCAGTTAATTTTGCACCATGAGAAGCTGGACATTGATAAAGTTTGAATCCGTTCATGAATGCTTCATAATTACTGCAGGAGGCAAGAGTGACATCCCTCAATTACAGATCTTTCAAATCTCACTGTTAACCTCAAGCCCTCTTACCGTAATCAGGGCTTGGGAACAAGGATTCACAGAAGCATTTCATGAAAAGATGGACTGTGCATTTGTATAAATGCAACTACTGTATTGCAATTAAGCAATACACACACTGCTGCTTCGTACCACCAGCAAAGTAAATAAAACACTATTCTGCTGCTTACAGTTTGGAGATGATCCCCATGGAGGAATAGCCACGGTTTGTCATTGAGATTGAAACTTTAATGTCCAGTTAGTAGTGAATGCTATTAATGGTATATTAAAATTACATTATGAATTAGATCAAGCAAGTCAACCTTCAGGGCAGATATTAACTGATTCAGAGTAATTTATTCTAATGCTCTGCTGTTCTTACATGATTTGTATCAGAATGTGGTCCTTACATTGCTTGCATCAGAATAGCCTATTGTGTCAGTTCTTGTCTGGCTCCTAAACCCCCTTTCTTCTCCCCACCTCCTGGAGCTAATGAATCAGAATCTTGGGGGTTAGACGATAAGCATCAACATTTTAAACGAGTTCCCAGGGTCATTCTTATGCCCAATAAAACTTGAGACCCACAGAATGATTTTTAGGGCCTGAGACTTGTCAGATTGTTTGGGTTCTCTTCTGCCAGGGGGCAGTGTTCTCTGAAATATGGTTGGATTAATAAGCCAAGCTGAAAGCTAATTTTAGTCTTTCTCATACACTTTCTTGTTTACTGACCCCAACCATGGTTGACCTGATACCAAAAATCTTAAATACCAGAGCAGGTGAACTTTCTTGATTCAGTTTTGTCATAGAAGGCTTTAGACTATATTTCAGTCATTTTAGTTGAGTTTCTGGACGTGCGGTATCAGGCTTTTTGGGTTTCTCAATTTTAGATCATGAGGGGTAATTTTATTTTGTGTTTGATTTGATGCCCAAGATAGGGACTTTGGTCATGCTACTGACGGTTAATTTATAATGATGTCTCTTAGTAAAATCCTGTGTAACTGTGTTAGATGGGGTGTGTGTGTGCGTGTGCGTGTTTGTGTGAATGTGTTCCATGCACACAATGACCTGGTAGAAGATAAAGTTCTTTGGCAGATGGTTAACAGAAATAATGGCTGAGTTCAATCCTCTTAGATAATTGGTAACAAGTGCTGTACAGAAGCCAATTCTGGATCACCCTGGCTATTACACTTCAGACTTTCCCCCCCTGCACAGCTACTCTGCATGTCAGAAAAAATTAATGGATAATGTTCAGCTTCTGAGTCTAATTTTTTTTTCAAGGGGGGCCTTCACTGTCCTCATGCTCGATTTCTACCATCAAATGTCAGACAGATTCTAAATCTGCTGGACTCCGGTGAGGGCTGGGGAAATTGGCGAGGGCAGGGGAGCACCTTTGGAACACTGTGCCATAGAGTGCAGTCACAGGACTGCCTTGCAATTTTCCTTTTAGCTTTCGAGTTGTCCTCTGTACAAGCAAGCCTGCATCTTGAAATTGAACATAAAGAGTAAAAAAAATCTTACGTGGGGTTAACATCTTTCATAAGCCTTGCTAAATGCAGGACCCCAAATCATTTCAGTATGGCACAGACTAAAGCAAGAGACTTCCATAGGAAAATTCATAAGCCTGCCATCTCTGCAAGACTGCGAAATGAAAAGGACGTTAGAAAGGCAGCTAAAAGTTTGGCACTGTGTTTTTTTCTTTTGCTCAATTAGCTGTTACTAAATTATAGAATATCTAATGAAACCCAGGACTAATGTGCAATCCACCATAAACAAGTTCTGGCTTTTGTGCTATCAGGTTTTATTTGAGCTGAGCCACTGCTTCCTCAGTAATTTGTTGCATGGTAAGCGCCGTATTTGTTTACATACACACATATGCTGTGTGTAAGAACCATGGTCACCGGGTCCGGCCAGAGAAAATCCAAAGATAAGCTTTCCTCCCTCATTTGAATCCTAAAAGTGTACAGTATTTAAAGACCTCTCAGCTTTTGAGGCCTTGATTTCTTTTAGGAGTCTCCTGATTGCCAACTAGGTTAGTAAAGAGACTTTAATGCTCACGATAGCATCAAAGGGCACAGTGTTTGGTGGCTAGATGATAATTTATCTGGGAAAAACCTAGGGAAGCAATTCTTTAAAGCTAAATTCTTGCTGCCATTGAGATTTCCTTCCTCAATTCAATCATTAATAAAGCTTTTCCATCCCACCCCTGCTGCTCCCACACCCCTCCAAAACCACAAAAACAAAAGCAAAAAAACCCAAAAAAAAACCCAAACCCAAGCTGACAGTTTTTTCGGGAGGAAGAGGCAGAGAGACGTGAAGTTATATTGTCCCTCCTCACCGGGCAGAAGAACTGTGTTGCTTAGTTTGACATTCCCAGTATTTTGATAAAAGTTACTTCTCTAAACTCTAACAACAACATGGGGAAACATAATGCTATCTCTTGTGTTGAGTTACAATCGTGGGAGATTTCATCGTGAGAAATATTTGAGGAGTCGGGAGTAGCCGAGAATGTGGCAAAAGGGACAGGGTCGTTTAAACTGCCAGAAAAATAAATAAATAGGCAAGACAGAGAAAGTTATTAGGTTTATAAATTATAAAACTTTCCTTTTAAAAAAAATAAAGTCGTGGGGTTGACTACATTGAATAACTACATTGTAAACCTTAAAAGCTTAGAGCGGGTAGAAACCCTTTTATGGCTCTGTTTCATTTTTATCGGATAAAATGCATTTGGTTTCTTTTTTTAAAACCATGTTTTTAGGAGGGAAGAAAAATGAACATGCAGTGTTATTGGCTACAGCGACATAAGAAACCCTTATGTTACCAGAGGAAACCACATGAAAGTATCTGTGTGTCAGGGGAGGGACAGATAGGGGGTGGAGAGAAGGAGAGGGATATTTCAAGCTTCTTATGCTCAGAGCTGCGATTTGTGAACAAACTGTGATGAAATCAAGCTGTGGACAAATCAGAGGAGCCTGTCAACCTCCCAGGTGGGATTACTTGTAGTTAATAGACTGGACTCAGCCCCAAAAAGCAGTGCATTCAGTGTAGGCAAACAGAACACACTGCAAAAGGCTTTCCAAGAACCCTCTGCCATGGCCAGGAGAAACTCCTGTCAGCTGTATCAGGTAGGAGAATGACAGAATGCCACGGGAAAGCCTTGGTTTTCAGAGCTGCTTCCTGATTTTGAATTTTCTTTTTGTTTCTAAAATGAAGACAGCACTGTATGGTGCCTTTGGGAAGTTGTGAGATTGGGTGGTGATGTTGAAGGCATTTGCATTTTGCCTTCCTGGAATTTGATTTAGGCTTCTCTGGCTGCATTGACAATTTGAGCTCTTTATTCCCTTAGGTAATATCCCTGTTCACTTTTGCTGTTGGGGTCAATATCTGCTTAGGATTCACAGCAAATCGAATTAAGAGGGCAGAAGGATGGGATGAAGGCCCTCCTACAGGTAAGTGTAGCAACTATTCCCATTTTCAATCTTTAAAAAATTTTATACATTGGGTCATCAATGTCAGCTCATTAAGAAATTCATCTTTAAACTGATCTTGCAGTGTAACTACTTTAGTCCTAGATGTCTCTGGAATAAAAGCAGCTCTGTGTATAATTCAGATAGGATAATGTGGTTTAATGAGAGAGCATTTGTGATCTCTTCATGCTAGATCACTGGCTATTTAAATCTCTGTCCTCTGAAATTTCTAAATGTTAAGATAATATTAAAGCTCTTGTGAATTGACAAGGCTGAAACAGAAGCGGTGAGAACAGGTGCTGGCGTAATATTAAAGATACATGAATTTGATTGATTGTCATGTGGTATGAGATGTAGTATTTGCTTCCAGAAAGTTCTGACCTAGAGAAAAATAGGAATGGAAGTAAAAAAGGCAGGGAACTCTCTTTGTGAAACTTCAGGGCTATGAGATTAAGATTTACCTAGAACAGGAAAAATATAAAAGAGAGGAGGTGCCTAGAGGAGCTTACAAGATTGAGTTGCACTCATTGATTTTTCTTTTGGGCTGAGGAGGGGTAAGTTTTAATAGTGTACCTTGACTTAACTAATAGAGCTGAAGTGAAAGAGTTTTCGTTTACAATACACTGTGCCATAAGCAGTGTGGGAATTCTTATGAAGGAGCTCCTTGTGCAGATGGCGGGGCTTAACTGACCAGGTCTTAAGTAATGAGTTGGTTAATTTCCTGGAAATTGGAGCTGCCAATGGTTTTATGAATAAAAATTACATATGAAGTAATGGGTACTCTATGGGGCAATCTTTTCTTGACTGTTCCTGACATCTCAGCAGGTTCGTCTGCCTTCCTGTGCATTTTGTGTTTCTCTGCACTGTATTTCTTGACCTGACTCATAAGAGACTCTCACCTGTCTCTGTTTAGCCAGCACGAGCACTTATTAGCCAAGTTATGATCCATACATTGATGGAATACTGAGTCTTCCTTACATCAAGCAACTTTTGAGTAAGGGTGAAAAAATTATATTAGAAGTAGTTTAGTGAGTCCAAGTGGGGTGTGCTTGGGGTGAAAAGTGAGAAAATAGATGATAAAAAATTGCACCCCTGGGCTTCCCTGGTGGCGCAGTGGTTGAGAGTCCGCCTGCTGATGCAGGGGACACGGGTTCGTGCCCCGGTCCGGGAAGATCCCACATGCCGCAGAGCAGCTGGGCCCGTGAGCCATGGCCGCTGAGCCTGCACGTCCAGAGCCTGTGCTCCGCAGCGGGAGAGGCCACAACAATGAGAGGCCCGCGTACTGCAAAAAAAAAAAAAAAAAAATTGCACCCCCAGGGAGCCAAATGGACAGAATGAGTTGTCTTCTGTTGGGGAAGGGGAGGAAAGTAGATCACTAGGCTGGAGAATCCTGTTTTGATTGATAGCAAATGTTCTCTTCAAAGACTTCTTTTTCTTGTTCCAGACAAGCATAACTCCCATTCACACTGACTGTAACTGTTCAGACTGGAAGCGGGGAATTGGATCCTTAGTTTGGTCACGTGGGCAAGCTAACATCTTGAGAGCCCATTGCTGGTTCTTTCCAATGGACCCTAAAGGAACTTTTTTCCTGTATTGTATTAATATATTACTTTGGCTAAAACTGATATTAAAAGTGATTTCCCTGATGAACGTTGTAAAATCAAGTCGCCCATTATTTCCAAAGTTGACTTCTTTGGAAAATGGTCATGAAAGTCCTGGACTGGCACCCCGGATCTGTATCACTTGCTGGGCCGTCTTGGGGAAGTCACTTATGAATTCTGCTTCCTTAGTTGTACGACAAGGCACAGGCCTAGATGATTTTTAATTTTCATTCTGGATTTGAAACAAAAAAGCCCATGATTCTGTCCACTCTGTTTCATTGCCTTTTGAATGTGTGTGCTCTCTTCAGGAGAACTTGAAAAATATAGACCAGATTTACTAATCCTTGAATATATTTTGTGTATAATAAATTATTTCCATATATTATTAAGAATAACTATAAGAACTAACGAATCAATGCTACTTCTGGAAAAATAATATAATCTAAATTAGCATCTATAAATCGAAGTGATCTTAAACATACTACAAAATATTTGCTTCTTGAATTATTTAATTAAATCATTGATTATTTTCAGCCTTTATGGTATCTTCTAAAAAAATTTATTAGTGAAAATTCTACGGCTAAGAAGTATTAGTCTTGGGACACAATGCCATTTAAGTCTGAGTTTTGGGATTTTGGTATACCTGACACTTTTTATTTTAAATTTTCTGTTGATATAGCTTACTGGCTGTCTAGGCACTGTGGATGATTTCTCCTGAATAAAGACCAAGATGTACTTTGGAAACTGAGTGAGAGCATAGTGCAGAGAATTTAAGCATTTTCATCTTTTTAAATGCTATATGTGCCTGAAATGACACATATAGTTGGTTATTCTGTCAGCAAAGCCTACACATCGGAAAACACTGGGTGAACGATTACTTATGTATTAGAACAAGGTACTAGGAGGAAAGGCTGCTACGCTTATTTTCAACAATGCTTTCATGTTCCAGAGAAATCCTGGGAAGCTAGATGCTTCGAGATCTTTCCACCAAATAGAAGGAACATAAAGGGTATTGACATACGGCCAGCTTCAGACTGACCGGAGCAAGACCTCTCATTCACAAGCGTTCAGTTTTTTGTTGAGCAAATGTAGGTGCTCAGAATCCTCAACTGTAGCTGAGAATGTTCTATATTCATGCACACCCTTGCTGCCGTACTACAGACTGAGGTGTTAAGTTTCAAGGCTGTGGCAGTGCAAACTGTTATAATTAATTAACTAGCACACTTGTTAGCTGGATTTTTTGTTAGGATGTTGGGATCTATTGGAAATCATGGTAGAATAGGATTTCCTCTACCAGATCATAGAAGATCTATAGATTTATTAGAAGATATGAAATGAGCAGAGGTAATTATAATTCTGTTGGGTAAATGTAATGGGCCATCCTGTAAATGAGATGGCTGGAATAACTTTTCAAAGAGAATGTAAAGAATATGTGCAATTCAGTTTGACATCCTTGTCGCATACATCTGATGTAGTCAGCTTGATTTACCTTTAAAATTGCAGGCGAATGTATGTGTATACAAGTGTGTCCGCACTCATGTAATGTGCATATATGTGTATGTTTGTGGTGTGGTGGTGGAGTCTATTTCACTGAAGTTGGTGATATGTACTCTTCCAGTCTCCAGGTGGAAATGGGATATCCTCTGAGAGAAGCAAGTTAATACTTGAAAGACAAAGGGAAATTTATAAGCTTGTGAATAACTGGCTAATACGGACTGGAAAGCTCAGTCCTCATTCTACAATGAAAAGTCACTTAAATGATAGGGTGGCAGCATGTAGGAACTGCAAAGCTGACAGATATATCAGTCATTACTCTGCAAGGAAAATTAAGGGGACTATCACGTCATGGGATTTTATGTTAAATCTAGTGTAGAAATCAGAGGGAGTTTAAGTCAATGGAATGAAATAATTTGAATTAGAATTTAAGGAGGGCATGGATTTTTCAGTTCATTTTTAATTGGTGCTTTGGTGTAGTGGTTTTTCATTTATCTTAAAAATGATACGGAATCTTCTATCTTGTTGCATTAACCAGAAATCTCCATCTTCAATAGAGTTCAAATAGAATATATCTTCCAAGATCATGTCTTAAAAAGAATATCTAAAATTCAGAGCTTATGTACATAATTTGAAAAATCCTTTGTTAATGAAAATGGCATTGTAGTTATAGTCAGATGATCTGAAATTGCAGCTAGGCCTTTGCTAACTCAAGTTAGGCCTAGAGCTCTGCTCTTCCAACCAGGAAAATGGGGGTAATGTTGCCTCTTTATCCGAAAAGACTTTTTAAAACAAAATGCCATGCTAAGACTGATGAGAATATAAAGTGTTAAGTATATGATTTACCTCCAATTTTGTTTGAAGGTCAGTGTCTAAATTTTTACCCTATCAAGTTGACGATACCTGCTATATAAAATGATGTTTCATTGTTTGGTAGCAGATTTGTAAATCGTTCAGACTTACACTACTGACTACTCTCATAAATGCTATTTGAGTGGTTTATAAGTGAAATTAAAGTCTTAAATTTCATTCAAGTCATCTAGAAATCTGTTTTCTTGTAGTTTATGAGGTCTTTCTACATGAGGATGTTGTATTTAAAAACACATTGAAAGTACAGGTGTTTGAAAACTTCCCAGGTGGACCTATTTATTAAAAAAATTGTCTATGAAATCTGGTTCGGAAGCTGTGAAGAGGAGAGAATAGTGATGCCTAAGTAATAGGTATTTATAGAAAGTGATGTATTTAGGAAGCAGAGATACAGACATGTAGGCCTGTATGTAAGTGCTGCTTTCTAAGGGATGAGGTCAAAATGTATGGACACCAAGGGGGGAAGGAGTGGGTGGGATGAACTGGGAGATTGGGATTGACCTATATACACTACTACATAGAAAATAGATAACTAATGAGAACCTACTGTATAGCACAGGGAACTCTACTCACTGCTCTGTGGTGACTTAAATGGGAAGGAAATACAAAAAGGAGGGGATATATGTATAATATAGCTGGTTCACTTTGTTGTATGGCAGAAACTAACACAACATTGTAGAGCAGCTATAAAAATAAAAATTAAATTAAATTAAATTTAAAAAATTAAAAAAAAAGAAAAACAAACAACAAAAAGAAAAAATGACTTCAGTACAGAGAGGTATGACCAGAAAGAACGAATCATATACTCCAGAAGAGGCATCAGACAGTATTAAATCCTGGAGTTGGGTGGTATCTTGAGTGTCGTTCACGTTGTCTGCCTCCTTTCCTTGCATTTTATATTTCAGACAGGGCAGGAAGACACAGGAGAACCAGATCTGTTTCAACGCTCTTGAAAAGGAGGTGACATAACCACAGTCTGTTTCATTTCAAGCTTTTACTCTCACTGTCAGGAAATACTAGGGCTGGGAACCATGGAGAATGGGAGGAACATAGAGGGTGTCATATCACAAACTCTGAATGCAGGACCAGACAAAACTTAGAAGAATCATCGAGCTTTATGCTGAGCTAAATGTTTGCAAACTTAAATACAGCCTCCTTCACTGGCCATCATCCAAATCTGAAAATTTCCATTTTGCAGAGAGAGTTGAAGGGAAATATGATTGGGACTCCAGGATGAAGTAATGTTTAGGTCACAACTCTTGTCATGAATTAGGTTCTTTCCAATAGTCTAATTAAATTATCAATAGTATTTCTTCTGTATATAAATGACACCAGAATTCCACAATGCTACCTCTGTGTCGATACGGTAAGATGGAATGTTTTAGAAATAAAGTTTTACTTAAAGAAATAAAAATAATTTCACTTGTTTCTCTCAGAATTATGAATTTGAATGAAATAAATCAGGTTTTATATTGGTGTTTTTTCCCTAAATCATGAAATTATGCTTCTGTGAAAAAAAGAGAAATGTATAACATTGTTTTATGCATATCATACATGTACGTTACACACATATTTAAAAATTTAAAGTCCCTATTTTTATTTTTTATTTTTATTTTTTTTTGCGGTACGCAGGCCTCTCACTGTTGTGGCCTCTCCCGTTGCGGAGCACAGGCTCCGGACGCGCAGGCTCAGCAGCCGTGGCTCACGGGCCCAGCTGCTCCGCGGCATGTGGGATCCTCCCAGACCGGGGCACGAACCCGTGTCCCCTGCATCGGCAGGCGGACTCTCAACCACTGAGCCACCAGGGAAGCCCTAAGGTCCCTATTTTTAAAAAACTTCCATCTGTGTTGATCTGTAACATTTATTTTTTAAGATTCTGGAACAGACTAGTTTCTTTGAAGTAAAATAACACAATTTAAGTATGTTATTAAATTGGCAAATGTCTCATACAAAATTTCAAACCCCCATTGCACCTAGCACAGATTTCTGACTTGATTGTTTTCAAGTTTTTTGTTTGTTTGTTTCATTTTGTCTTTATCTTTCTTGTTAGTTCTGAGCTTATTAGGTCTGGAAAAGGAAGGCTTTACAGATTTTAGACTTCAAGCAAAGTAAGTCAGAGAATCTTTCCATGTTTGATCATTCAATCAGTTATAATAAAAAGAGAAGTCCTAAAATCTGTGCTTAGCCTGGTGTGGGGAGAAGGACACGGGACCACAGCATGAAATGAAAAAGCCAGCACATGGGGAAGAATTACAGAACTAGAGAAAGAAGCAGCGCTAGAACTTGTTATGAAAGAAGATGGCAGGGATGGAATAGGCCCTGGAAAGGCAAAGCGAACTTTGTTCTACTCTATCCCTTTATTTTCTTAGAAAAGTTGCGGCAGTTCAGTTCTTGGGCTCATCGAACTTGAAGAAGTCTACAGCTCAATTGTTTATCTTCCTATTTCTCTTCCTGCCATTGTCAGCTGAATCCAAGTCAGCCAAGAATGAATTTTGTCATATGTGTCCCTAATCCACATAGGCCCAGGAATTCGCTCTCATCTGAAAGCTGTTGGTAACCCCATCTTGAGTACTTTTATGAGATGTATCTTTGCATTATGAGTGTAAGGGCAAATCTTTCTTAACAAAGCTGTCTTCAGTTTAAGGGTTGGCAAGGAAGATTAGAATTGATAGGGGCAAGCTATTGAGGGAAATTCAATTATTTTCAAAGACAAAGTTAAGGGATAAACTTAGAGAATAACCAACTTTGTAAGAAAAGAGTAAAAATCACGTTGATAGAATGGATGAAGAAAGGTTTAAAATGGCTAAAATTTTGTACAGATATTTTGAAAGGAAAGAAAGAAAGAAGAAAGAGATTATGATGAGGGGAAAGCAAAGGGCATGAATGGAGGAAAATTTCACATGCAGGCTGGGATGCTATGAAGAAGAGGAGCCAGGACAAGTAAACAACTACAAACAATGTGCCTTTGGATCTCTTCTGATTATCTCAGCTATAAGTGTAGCCAAGCATATTTATGTATGCAGCTCATAGGCATGAATACTACTCAGAATTTATTAGATGGCTGTTGGAATGATTCTGTCTAAGCAGTACCCTTGAAAAAGGAAAAATTCAATTATAAGCATTTTTCTTATCTTTATCCTTATCTCTACTATAGGATTTCTCTATTTTTCCTTTTTCTACTTCTCAACCCTCCTCCCCTCATAGTTTCTTAGGGTCCAGCATGCACTGTTGATTGGTTGGCCAAAGTCAATAGAAAAATGTCGTTTAGGAACCAGAGGTAAGGCATTGCATTGGAAACCTGACGTTATTTCTTAAACCGAACTGGTGTGCTTTGTATGTATTTCAAGATCCCAGAATGAACCATGTAAAAGTGTTTCACATCTCATGGTCTAGTGAATCTGTTTGCTTTAGTTGAACTGATCTAATGCCATATGGGTGAGGATTGGGTGACTCTGACTTTAAAGAGGACAAAGAACTAAGGGATGAACAGGATGTTCAGATAAATGGCTTCGGTGAACCTAGAAATGTCATTTAACATCTGTTCTCTCCCTGCCTCTGGTGTTTTGATTTTATAAGTAATGAATACTAATCATAAAAAAATGAAAAATTTGTAAATGTAAATAAGGAAATAAAATTACAAATATCATGTTTTAAATAACATTTGTTAGGATATTTGTATATCAATATTATATAACATATACTTTACACACATATGTTCACATGCATGTATACATATATACACGAGAGAGAGAAGTAAGCAAGCAAAAACCCAAAAGGACATTTGTAAAATGTTAGACGTTTCAAACTGCAGAAAAGTAAGAAGTCTCCTTGCTTCTCTCTTTCTCATTTTCCCCAAAGGTAATTCCTGTAAGGAGTTTCTTACAGTGAAAATAAAATGGTTATTCATACTGGCACCGTGTCTCAATGCCTCTGTTCTCACCCTCTGTCTCGTCTCGAGCTCTGGCCTCTGTTTTTATTTTATATTTATCTTTATCCTTATTGCTTTGGCTCTATTTTTAACACAAAATATATCAACTATATGTACTATTTACTACTATAACAGTTTTCTGTACTTTGCTGGTTAAAAAAATGTGTTTATCAATTTTGTAGATCTTTCCATATTAGCCTATGCAGATCTGACTCGTTCTTTTTAAGGGCTGGGCAATATTCCATTTATGGAGATAGTGATTCTTTCTTGTACGTGTATCTTGGCAAACTTTTGCAAATATATGTGAGAGAAAAATTCCTAGTAGTCGAATTTCTGGGTGAAAGATTCATATGCATTTAATAGTGTTGATAGATACTTCCAAATTGTATAAAATTTTTAATAAAAATTTTCATTCCTAACAACAGGTATGACACTGCTTATACTTTCCATTCGTCAGAAATTAATTATTTTGTAAGCTAAGATGAGGATCCAGATTAATTTTTCCAGTCAGCCCAGCACTACTTACTGATAAATCTTTTTTTCACTTCTTGATTAATCCTTCTTTCTTTCTCTGATTTAAAATGTTATTTTCATTATAAAATCACTTCTCTTATATTTGGTCCTATTTCTCATCCTCATGCCCAGCACTGATCTACTTATTTTCTATAACCAATCTGTTTTAATTATTTAACTTCAGAATATATTTTACTTTCTTTTCAGTGTTTTTTGTTTTCATATATTTATTTTTGATAAGCATTTAATATCCTCTCAAGTTTCAAGAATTCCTTTTTGTATTTTTATTGTGATTGCATTGAATCTTTAAGTTTATTTAGGAAGAACTGACATTTTGTTGTTGTTTTGTTTTTGTTTTTTTCGGCTGTGCCATGGCTTCTGGGATCTTAGTTCCCTGACCAGGAATTGAACCTGGGTCCTCAGCAGTGAAAGCACAAAGTCCTAACCACTGGACCACCAGGGAATTCCCGACATTTTTGTAATATTGATATTTTTACCTCCAAGATGGTATGTTTTACCACTTAATTAAATCTTTTAAAATATCTTTTTTTGTAGAGTTTTACTGTGTTCTTCATGTAGGTTCTAAACATCCTATTAAATTTATACCTAGATATTTAACCTTTTAGGTACTATGATGAATGGAACTTCCATTTAATTTTTGAACTTATACTGCCTGTATTTTACAAATTTGTGGAATTTTTATCTCATTGAATTATTTTTTCCTAAAAGTTTTAGTCGGTTCTTGAGATTTCTAGATATACAATCATATCATATGAAGATAATGTAGGAGGATTTATGTTTGAAAAGCCGAGATTGTAGAGTTTGTGTTTGTGTAACCCTAGTTATAGGTGTAGATTTTATGGCTGGAAGAGATCTTAAGAGTCTTCTATTCCAATCCCATCTGTTCAGACTGTTCTCAGAACATTTAGGCTCAATTTTCCTTACAAAAGCTATGGATATTTGAATAGGGGAACGAACTCTTCTTTCTAAGTATATACTTCAAAGTTCTGTTCTCTCTTGGCATCACAGCATCCACAGAGAAACTATCCCTCATGTTTGTGGTAATAATCATTGTAAACAGTAGTTTTGTGGTAATAATCATTGAAAACAGTAGTAAAACCAATAGCCAACATTTGTTACTTTCTACATGGCTGACACCCTGCTCAGTGTTTTGCATGGTTTGTTTCATTTAATTCTCATTGTAACCTCGAGTTGCTTCTATTAATCCTCCACTCTACAGATGAAGAAACTGGAACAAGGAACCTGCTGAAGGTACATAGACGGCGGGTGATGGATCCGGCTGCTCAGCCAGAGTCTGACTGCATCACCGCATTGTATTGCTACACAGGGTCACCCCTCCATAGCAACATAACCCATTCCCTAACCCCCTTGCCTTTGTCTCTTGTATCTTGTAGTGTTATCAGACTCCCCCTGGACCAACACCTCTGGATCTTGCAAGGGCAGATGCTTTGAACTTCAAGAGGTTGGACCCCCTGATTGTCGGTGTGACAACCTGTGTAAGAGCTACAGCAGTTGCTGCCATGACTTTGATGAGCTTTGTTTGAAGACAGGTGTGTAACTTTTGAGTCTTCTCTAGCCTTGATTAGATGGCTTAAGACCCCCTGCTGTTGTACAACCTGCCATTGCCGTTCTGCTTTGGCCAAACCAAACCGTGAGTTTTAGTTTTGTTTCTTGAATGATTATCAGTTTTATTATGAGCACACCCTATGTGACTGTTGTGTCCACATAACACCCACCCAACGATGGTTCTTTGCAGCTGCAGTCATTATTTGCTAGTTTTGGAAGTATTTGAGGCCAGCCTTTTTTTTTTTCATCTTTATCATTTCTGTCTCTTGCTGTCAATTCCCTCATTCACTGCTAGGATACCTGGGCTGAAACTGTGCACATTCTTAAAGTGTTGGGGTTTTTTTTTTGTTGTTGTTTCAACTTTAATTGTTTTGTTTGCCTGCCCAGTTTCTAACGTTTGTTTTATTTCATCTTATAGTCTACTACTATACTACTTTGATGTCATTCCCTGTTCTCAGTGCAAGTAGAAAATTGTTATGGAATTCTACTTGGGGTCACGTGCTCAAGGCACCTCTCAGATCTTCCTCTACAGGTTCCTGACCTTCCTTTACATTTCTTCCCTATTGGAAGAGTCAGTAGAATATACAGGCCTCTGAGTGAATGTACATGAGTTGAGAAGAAGCACTTTGGAGACTCCTGCCATTCTACCTGCTCTGTTTCCAAAGCCTAACACTTTAGAGGGGACTTTTGAGATACCTTGTAGGCTATCCATCATGCCTCTGGGCAACATCACGTTCAAATTTTCTGGGAAAGGTGATGAGCAACCCTGCTCTTAACACCATTAGATACACTGATTCTACAGCTCTCTTGATAAATTATTACCTGTTTGCAGACATTTATGGTTAGATGATTCTTTCAAAAATCTGACTTATATTATCATTAACATTAGTCTGAGTTTTCTAATGACATCATGAGAAACAGAGACATTACTCTCCTTTACTAAAGAAATAGCCGCTGATTTACATGAAAACCTATGTCAACCCCCTTACTAGTTCTGATTTGTTTGTTTTCTGCCCCAGATAAGAAGAATTTTATTAGGCTGTTTTTTTGCATAATACATTTTCCAAACATTTGGCCATTTTTTGGGTTACTTTCCTTTGGAACTTCTCCCAGCTTCCTTAGTTGTGGGTTTGTAAACTTAAATGCTGAGAAGCTTGTAACCTGAATATATGGATGGAACAGATGTTCCAGGAGAGTTTTTGGCTCTAAAGTGTTATTTCAAACCAGCGGTCTGTATTTGCTTGGCACTGAGGAACTAGCTAATGTTGTGTGTTTCCTCTCTACCTTGAGTATCTTGTCCCTGACACGTCATCTCAGCCCTCCAGATTCCTGATCTTGGAGCTCCTTGCAAAGTTTAATGGATCTCCTGCCTTTAGGTTAGCTCTCTCTGTATGTAGCTCATGCCTTTCTTCCCAAGTTTAATAAATATGGGTTATAATAGCACTTTAAAGTAGTTCATTTCCCTGTGGAAATGAACAAGGTCAAATGTGGAAGAATAAAATATAAAATAATAGCAAAATGTTGACGGAGCAAACAGAAATCTCTGAGATTCTACTATGCTGACACAGCACTCTCTAGAGATAAGCACAATCAATGTTTCAATGTAAACTCTGAGACTGGGTGTGTGTTTAGAATGTGTGTACACATTTATACATGTGTGTATTTATGCCTGTGTGAGGTGTATCTGTATTTGTGTACCTTTGTACACATCCCCCTTTTGAATGCCTACATTGTATTCTATTGGACAGATGCAGCTACTTCATTGAGTAACTGATCAGCATTTATGTTTCGGTAATTTTTGCTATTATGAACAATGTATCAATGAATATTTTTCATACATATTCATATTTTTGCCTATTTTCCTTGAGATAAATTCTGAGGAATGGGATTTGGGGATCAAAGCGTATATGCATTTTTAAAATTTAAATATATATTACAGAATTACACTTCTCAAAGTTGATGTTTCTCTCAAAGGGCACAAGAGCTTTGCAGCACTCCCTTTTCAGCATGTTCTCATTTTAAATAATATTTTTCTGATAGGTAACTTTCTTGTTATCCAATAAAGTTCAATGTTTTTTGTGTTTATTCCCATATTTGCTTTGAAAATTATACAGCTGACTGAATCATACCTTACTTGTAGTTCACTGAATTTTTAAAAATTTCATTCTTATACAAAGTTAGTAATTTCTCAATAAACCTAGCTTGTTAATAGTGATGCTGTTTTGTGAGCAAAGGGATTTTCTTATGGAACTAGAGAGGAATAAGCTAGGAGAGGAATACTGGTTGATAGAGTTATCTCTGAATTGAGGAAAAGGACTCGCATGACCTCTATCAGTCAAAGTAACCTTGGAAAATTGCTAACCATTGGGAATAGCATACCCTGGGCAAGAGAATTCCAAGCATTTATTCTGGTTGGGAAGAGAAGGCAGTGGAAATAGGGGATATTAAAAAAAAATCAGAGAATGGAATCAGGATGCAAAGGTAATTCTAAAAGAATGGAAACTAGACAGTAGTTGCATTGTTTTCTAGTGTGGCAGCTGTTATCCCCTTATCCATTTATTCACATAGCTGTAGTATCTCTAGGTAGAATATTATTAAAGAGCTGCACTGCTTTCTTTTCTTTTTTTAAATTTAATTTAATTTATTTTTTATACAGCAGGTTCTTTTTTTTTTTTTTTACGGTACACGGGACTCTCACTGCTGTGGCCTCTCCCGTTGCGGAGCACAGGCTACGGACGCGCAGGCTCAGCGGCCATGGCTCACGGGCCCAGCCGCTCCGCAGCATGTGGGATCTTCCCGGACCGGGGCACGAACCCGTGTCCCCTGCATCGGCAGGCGGACTCTCAACCACTGCGCCACCAGGGAAGCCCCAGCAGGTTCTTATTAGTTATCTATTTTATACATATTAGTTCTTATTAGTTATCTATTTTATACATTTATTAGTTATCTATTTTATACATATTAGTGTATAGATGTCAGTCAGCACTGCTTTCTAAAATCATTGCTTTCCACTTATGACACGTTTTAAGAGGTGAAGACCTGAAGTGTCCTTTAGCTCAAAGAAGCGTTCCTTGACCATTCTATGTCAAGTAGACCGGGCCCACCCCTGTCACTCACTATCCATGCCATCCTGTTATTTCCTTCACAGCACTTAGCACACGCTGAAATGATCTCATTGACTAGTTTACTTGCTTATGGTCTGTATTTCCCAATTGGAATGGAAGCTCCATGAAGACAAGACCTTGTTCTTCACTACCTCCCCAGCACCTAGAACACGGAAAATATAGTAGATGTATTTATTGAATAAATGAATTAACTCTGAAGTTTCTCAATACAGCAACCCCAAATTTAAAGAGTCATATTTTATTTTCATGGTAATTCTCAATTAGATTGAATAAGTGTTCATGGACTACCTGGCGTGTGCCAGGTAGATAGACTCAGGTACTGGGGATGTAGCGGTGAAAGGAGAGATGTGATTTTTCCTTCCATGGGGCTTACAGTCTAGCAGATGAAAAGTCACACAAAAAGTACAGCACACTCTTTAAAATAAAAATATTACTTTTCCGAAGATATTTTCTTGGTAGAGTTGAGTGTGAGCTCCCAGTCAAGTATGCTCAGATAGAAATCTGTAACCTAGCGATTGACCTCCTTGAAAAAAGGGCTCTGACCTCTGATTGTGGGTAGGGCCACAGTTTGGTCAATGCTTAGAGCTGTGAACGTTTTTAGTATACCTTTATACTCTTCATATCTGTTTAGGACTTTAACCCCCAAGTGCATCTTATAGCAGGTAGAGGCCATTTAGTTGCACTATTATTTTTTTTTAAACTTTTTATTTTATATTAGAGTGTAGTTGATTTACAATATTGTGTTTGTTTCAGGTATACAGCAAAGTGATTCAACTATACATATGCATGTATCTATTCTTTTTCAAATTCTTTTCCCATTTAGGTTGTCACATAATTTGAGCAGAGTTCCCTGTGCTGTACAGTAGGTCCTTGTTGCACTATCATTTGTATTTAAATCAAGCTGATTAAAGTTTAAATAAAGCTACTTGGGAAAATAAGAGTCCAGCTATAGCAACTATGCCTACAATGGTAGGTATCTCTATCACAAACCTTACACACTATACATTGTATTGGGTCATTTAGGACAGTTGGCAAATGGTTAAGGGTTTCATTTTTCCAAAGGAGCCCAGTGGCATTTGGCTTTGTACTCTGATTTGAAAAATTAAAACTCCATCCTATTTGTAAGTCCTCCAAATATCATCTAGGCCTCAGGCCAACTCTAATTTCACAAGCAGATTAAATGATGTGGGATTTTAGCTCTTTTTCTTGGCAAACGTTGTAAGCAATTGTGGCCTCTTTTATTTGGTTTGTGTGAAGCAGTGAGTGTTCTGTTGTGCCGATTTCAGCTGGCGGCTGGGAGTGTACAAAGGACAGATGCGGAGAAGTAAGAAATGAAGACAATGCTTGTCACTGCTCAGAGGACTGCTTGGCCAGGGGAGACTGCTGTACTAATTACCAAGTGGTTTGCAAAGGTACATGTTTCCTCGGGTTGGCTTGATCTTTGAAAGAATAAAAACTGGAGATGTTTGAAGAGACCTTGGATATTGTGGCTGTATCACCTTGGATATGGGCTTGGGAGGCAGGAGGGAGTTGTCCTTCCTAATTTCTCATGCTTCTTTCTTAGTTTTGCTTCTCTGCATTTCACTGATCTGAAATAACAAGGAAATAACCCCAAGTGCCATAATTAGATACAGCCGGAATAATGAGGAGATTTCTAAAAGAGTTCCTGCCTTGGTCCTAGGTCAGGTTTCCTAGAAGCAGAGCCTGAGACAGGAATTGTGTGTATGGAATTTATTGGAAGAGTGCCCTGCAAGAAAACCGTATAAGGGAGCAGGGGATGTGGGAGAGGGGAAAGTAAGCAAGGATGTGGCCTCAGGGGAGGTCTCACCTTGGTCTGCCCTACTGCGGGCTCTGGAAGGTAAATCCCAGAGTCCTTACCTTTGAGGCAAGGGGCATGGCTTTTGTACTCACTGGCTGTAAGCTGTAAGGCAAAGCACCAGCAGCAGCATGGGGATGGGGGTACTAGCTGCTAAAGGGGATGGGACACCAATAGCTCCTGCTATACCCCAAAGCCATACATGCATGTGTGCTGACTTTGTGTGGCTGAGTGTCAAATATGATGGTTTTATTCCAATAATAAATACTACTCAATGGACTGCCAAACATATAAAAATATGCAGTTTCTGTCTTTAAGGATTTTTAAGCCACCATCGCACCCACTTCTAAAGTTAATGGAAGGATCCAAGGATCTTTGTGTAAAGTTTGCAAGTCATTTTTTAGTGTCTAAATTAAGTCCTCTTCCTAGCTGTGACATGGAACATTTAAATAGAGTTTCTGTTCAAATATTTTGGGGGAAAAGCAAATCAGTTCTGAAATATGCATAGTGTTTATTTATGGCAAGACATACTGCTTGAATGCTGAGTTTGAACATTTTTCCTACCCCAGATGATTATTGGAACTGTTGATAAAGCATAAAACTCGTTGAGAATTTATTTCCTTTTCCCTTTTATTTCCCTAGTAAATGTACCAATAAGCCACAAAGGCTATTAGAAGAGAAAATAAAGTCCTAAGTATCACTGGTCGTTGAATCATGAAATGCTGGCTTTTGCTGGTTTAAAATTCTAGTTGCAGTACTTTTGTAGGGCCCATATGTACGCCTGGGTTATTACACGTGTGGTAAAGCTTCCCTATTTTAAGGAGCATGGTACTTACACAATTGTCAGTGGTTAGATTCTTATTGACCAGGGAGATCTCCAGTGCTCTTTACATGGGAGCAATTTCTCCAAAGTCTTGGTCACAAATGTTACTTATGTTCAAGACATATGCTTTTTTTGTTTTAGGAGAACTTAAAGCAAATGCTTTTTGATAATTTTCATTTTCTCCAAAGTAAGCTTCATTTTGTATCTAAGCTCTTTTCTGTTCTCTATTCTTGGTGGGAGTAACTCAAGAAAGACATGGCTTTATGCTTCCAGATCTTAGTGGAAGATAAAAGTGAAAGATAGCATTGGTTTTATTCCTAAGTGCAAGGGCTATTCATGGATCCATTGGCGAATAACCTCTCTATTGCAATATTCCATCTATCATCTCTGAGTAGCCTAAATCTTTTTCCCCAACTAAAGGGAAGTTGTGCCATGTTTTCTACGGCTATGAGATGTTTGGTGGCCTAGGAAAAAATGTTCTGTCTAATGACCAAACAGTTTATTTCTGGAGGGAAACAAACATGGAATTTTGTTCGCTGACGCCACTGGTGTTTTTATCTACAAACCATTTAGACTCGGAAGGCTCAAATAAACACCACTTGGGGTTATTAAATCTAGACTTTCCCATCATGTATGGGTGTAGTTTAGTAAGCCAAAACAGACACTAGGCTTTATTTCAGAAGTTCTTTTTAGATGGCGTCCCATAAACAATGAGTATCAAACAGGACACAGGTCCTGCAATTATACACTTCAAGGCTCTGGATATTTATAATTAGATTCATCAAAAAGTCTACCCATTTTTCCTTACAGGAGAGTCCCATTGGGTAGATGATGACTGTGAGGAAATAAAGGCCCCAGAATGTCCTGCAGGGTGAGTGCATTTTATGAATATTATACAGTTTTAAATATTTATTGATAAAATATCACAGGCTATGGATGGGTAAATAGTTAAAAACAAGGTAAAACTGAAATCCTCTTATATAGGCAAACTTACGAGTACTTCTGAGTAATTTACCAGTCGAATGCTGGAATGTGCATCTTGAAGTAGGGAATTAAAAAACTTTTTTTTCTCCTATCACCTGCACATATCAGAGACTGAATATCCTCTGTATCTCACCTTAGCTGAAGATTTTACGAAGTATGTATAAATAATGCTGAAGAAGAAAAGAAACATTTCTGGCAGTGATTTGGTTTGTTTTCCTGTGTTTTTTCCTGAAGTGCTGCTTTTGCTTTTTGTTTTTTTGGTGACAGTAGTGGTGGTGGGGTGGCTGAAGGGAGGACTACAGAATGTCTCAAAAATATTATCTGCGATGGTAACTCCTACCAGATGCTACAGAAACTTGACAAACCACTACAGCCCTGCTTTGCTGGGATACAGCCAAACTTGAGTGACACCCCACAGCTCAAGTGGGACCAGCATAAGACACTTATTACGCCTTCCAGGAAACTGTTGCAAATTCATGGACCCTTAAAATGCCTGGCAGAAAATAAAATGTTCTACAAATGTGTTTTCATGAATGTATTTGATCGAGTTCTTTTCGTTTTAGGCAGCAGAGCCTGGGACACAAAATCCAAGAATTTAAATATTTTTATTTTTGTCTCCTTTTTAACTTTCATGAGCTACTTGAACTTCTTTGGACTTTTAGAATGGGATGGCAATAGTTTCTGAATGTTTAAAATGTGTTCAGTTATTTTGGAGGTGAAAGCAGTCTATGTGGTAGAAGCGTAAAATTATAATAGTTATGATAATAATGAACTCATATAGTATTGTTCTAAGTTCTTTATATGTGACTCTATTTTAAATGAGTCATTTAAAATATGCCTCATTTGGGACTTCCCTGGTGGTCCAGTGGTTAAGATTCTATGCTCCCGATGCAGGGGGCCTGGGTTCGATCCCTGGTCAGGGAACTGGATCCCGCATGCTGCAACTAAAGATTCTGCATGCCGCAACTAAAAAGATCCCGCATGCCGCAATGAAGATCCCGCGTGCCGCAACTAAGACCCAGCACAGCCAAATAAATAAATAAATATTTTTTTAAATGCCTCATAAGAAATGTAGCTTCAAGTAAATTCAAGCCCGTGCTTGCTGAATTATCTTCAAACTATTAGAAACAGTTTTGCACATAGTTTAGCATCTCAAGTCTGATCGAACAACTGTATCTTTAGAATATAACAAAAGGCCTATTTCATCAGTCCTGCCCTAGTTAGGTGGATAGTCTAGTTCTTTATTGATTGATTTTTAGATCTTCAACAATTTTAATTATTTTTGAAATTATTTTGTAATTAAACTTAAAATAATTTTTGTATAAGTATTTAGTTCTAGTGACAGGAGTACTACTGCTATTAATTTCATCTCCCTCCCTTCCTCCCTCCCTCCCTCCCTCCCTCCCTTCCTTCCTTCCTTCCTTTTTTCTTGTATGTGATAAATATTTGTTGAAGCCCTACTATGGGTCCACAAAATAAAAGATGAATAAGACACAAACTGTGCTTTGAAACGAGTGAAGAAGGTAAACATGTTAATATAGCAATATAATATAGTATAATGTATATATGAATGATAAAAGAGGTATTAATTAATATCTTAAAGGGATTCAGAAGCATGACACCTAATACTATGAAAGAGGAAATCTTAAGCTGAATTTTAAAGAATGAATAGGAGTTTTTCAGGTAGCAAACGGGAGAATCAATATTCCAGGCAAATATAGCGGCTTTTTACATTGTGAAAAACCTTGTTTGCAGTGCAAGAGGCAGCAGTGGAGAAAGTACATTAGGGGAAATCTGGAGTCCAGTCCGTTCCCTGGTCATTTAACTCTGCACTTAAGTTGCCACAAATGTTATGTGGCTAGAAGCCCAGGCTTGTACAGAATCCTCACTTGAAGTTTCATCTTGGAAACCCTCGGTTCCAATTATTGAGAATGACTAGGCATAAAGCAAAGCTGTGACAATAATTTTTCTAAAGCTTAATGTGTTACTGTTTAAGGTTTGTCCGCCCTCCATTAATCATCTTCTCTGTGGATGGTTTCCGTGCATCGTACATGAAGAAAGGCAGCAAGGTCATGCCTAACATTGAAAAACTAAGTAAGTCATTTTCATACTGTGTTCTTATCTGTAATCCATGATCTGCCCAGTAGCCACTTAGCTGTCGGTTTTGAGATGTATGGACACATGACTTTACCATTTGGAGTTCAAAAGTGAAGGTAGCACATGTCTTTGCTCATTTATAGAATGGATTTGCATACATGAGGTGATTCCTGGTTGTTCTCTTGCTCTAATACCTGAATTCTGTTTCTAGGGTCTTGTGGCACTCACTCTCCCTACATGAGGCCCGTGTACCCGACAAAAACTTTCCCTAACTTATACACTTTGGCCACTGTAAGTATTTTTTCAAGTGGTGTAGAATCAAAGCACTGATTTCATGCTGAAATGACTTAGAGAGATTTAAAAAACATGTTCCTTAGTGTTCAAAGAAAATCTTTCTCTTTTTCATCTTACCTGTATCAGTTGTTTATAGTAAATGCCTTTTACAACTCTGTGGATGACTGAACTTCATTGCAATTTTAAAACCTTTTTTTTTTTTCAACTGCAGTTCTGTCTGCATATATACATTCAACCTCTCAAATACCACAGGAGCTATTCTTTATTTTCCGAATTTTCAAATAAAAAATGTTGACTTCAGAGCTGCTATGTTTAAATTTTCAGATACTCCCAATTCTACCTTGCTTTCTTCTTTAAAAAATATAATTTATTTAGTTATTTTTTGTTTGGAGTAGAAATAAAACCTAGGAAAAAGGAATAGTGTATTTAGAAACTTTGGAGGCACATAAGTAAATTTCATTCTAAGGGGTAATTTATTGTAATAAAAATTATCGTCATCTTATTAAATGCAACAGTTAAAAAACATCCCAATATTAAATTTTTATAATCATGTCAAGTTTCACAGATGGCTTATAATTAGTCCATAGATAATATTCCTGTTTGCTAAGACAGACACGTATAGAGGTTATATATGTCTTATATAAAATTGGAAATTAAATATTGTTATAAAACCTTCTATGACAAGAAAATTTATGATAGAACTATTATGTGTGGATTATTTTGACAATAAATTTGCTTTTCCACAAAGGGCCTATATCCAGAATCACATGGAATTGTTGGCAATTCAATGTATGATCCTGTATTTGATGCCACTTTCCATCTTCGAGGGCGAGAGAAATTTAATCATAGGTGGTGGGGAGGTCAACCGGTGAGTTTTGCATTTTTTTGTGTGTCTGTGCCTTGAAACATTTCACCCACCCCTAAATTTGTTACCTGTTGAAAAGATGCATTTAATTTCCTCATACTTGGCAATGTTTCTGTCTTTTGATATTGTATATATATATGTGTGTACATAATATATGTGTATCTATATGTGCATATAATATGTATGTGCATGTGTATTATGTATATATATACGTATGTGTTAACATATGTGTGTATGCAATGTATATATACTGTATATACATATGTTTATGTGTCTATGTTTATACATGTGTGTATGTGTATGTGAGGTTATGATTATAAAAGTGTGCGATGATAAGGATCTCCATTAGGGTGACAGTGGTAGAAATGGTGACATAGGGGTAACTTTCAGAAATATTTTGAAGAAGGAATACTCAGATCTTATTGATTTACTAGATTTGTGGACACAATGAAAAAGAAGTGAATGACATGACTGCCACAAAATTTTAGCCCAAGCGCCATATGATCAGGAACAGGGAAACTTGCTGGGAAAAAAAATCTCAATGAAACCCACAGTAAATTTATGAATTCTTCTGTTTAATCCATTTTTTAAAAAATCTTGGAAGTTACGTATAAGTGGAATCTACCTTGGTTCTGGACCAGCAGATTGATACTTTGAAAGAAATCATCCTATTTACTTCAGATCAAATGGCTGGGCAGAAAGTGAAAAGGGATATAGGTGGCTTTCTGCACAATATTTTTCCTGTGACTGTGTGTATGTGTACGGTCAGGCAGCTTGCTTTGGTCAGAGGTGAGCAAAGCAGCAACATAAATCCACAGCTGTTTAATGTGCAGAATTGAACTAAGTGCTTGTGACCCTGGGTAGAAGGATCCGAATCCCCGTAGGAACACATGCCAGTACACACAGTCAATCAGAAACACGTAGAAGAAGGATGGCAAATGGTTCCATCTCATGTTTACTCTGACTGGGGGCCACGGCTCCCTGGAACACTGGTGGGAAGGGGGGCTGGGAGGCTTTTGTGCAATCTGCCATGGCATGAAGACTGGGCAGTCTGCACATATCCACGTACCTATCATCCCCAAATGATCTCCTACCTGGAAATGTTTGCTTCAGTCTATGGGCTAAATAGAGAATATAAAGTATGAAAAAAATGGTATTGCTCTTTGAGAAAAGGTCATCTATGACAAAAAAATTCATATTGCATAATCAGTATGCATGGTTAAATATGGGCTTTTCATTTAAAAAAAAGTTGGAAGACTTGTATATCTGTAGAAGTGTTTCTTTCTATCAGAGGTTCTGATTCTGCTGTCTTTATTCAGGCTAGACTCCCAGAAGTCTGTGATGTCTTACGTTGTAAGCAAAGTGAAATTTGTTTACAGTGTGGATTTCCCAAACAAAGTTTATGATGGAGGAAGATTTTAGGTATAAATAAAATAATTGAAATTTGAGTCTGTCAAGAGCTGTTGCTAGTTGGTGTTTTATATTAATTTTGTCATGGAAGCAAACCTGCTTGAAGAAACACAAAGGATATAAATAGTAATTTTATCAAATTGGATCAACTTCCACTGAGTGTGGATATTAGGCTTCCTCTGGGTTGGCATGACTCAGAAGATGAGTCCGCATATTCATTAACTCCTGCAGAAACAGAGCAGACGGAAAGCTGTGAACCTGCTCAATGAAGTGAAGTCTGTTTTAACCCTGTTTGCCTGTTTCCTCACTCACTCTCTAAGACGACACATTTCACTAAGTTTAGTAATTCCCTAGTGCTGATGGAGATTTGCACTGAAACTGATTTGTGTTTCTGTCTATCTTCTTGAACAAGATGCCACCATAAGAAATCCAAGGAGCACAGTAGATATCATTTAAAAACATGTTTTATAGAAACTTGGCACATAGGAAAAATATATGGACAGGAACTATAAGAAACTACAGTATGAGTATAAGAAATTATAAGTGCTATAAGAAAAGATGAGCCTTAATAAATACTCCTTAAGCGTAAGCGGCTTGTATATTTCACAGTGAAAAAATAATTGGAGTAGAGAAAATATTTATAAAAATCTTAAATAGGTAATTAAGTCAAACAACTTATTTTTTACTGAGTGATTAAACCATGAAAGACATTTGGCTAAATAATATATGAGTCATATTAAATGGTGAATAAGAACCATTCTTATTCTAGTTTGAAATCTTATATATGACATGAGGCATTTGTAGTGTCCATTCAATTTGAATTGCGCCATTCAACTTCCAAAAATAATTTCTATAATTTAATTTTATTTTTAAAACCCTGATATAGCCACTTTAGCAAAGTTGAGTCTGCTTTTAATTTGTTGATCTTCAGAATGCACTATTAAAAGTTGTCATTCACTGTACGATCCTACATTTCTCCTACATATTATAATGGGATTCCTTTTCATGTTGTTTTGAAACTATTTACTTTTTTCTCATTACAAAAGTATGTTCCATACTCTTAACAGAGTGCCATAAGTGTGTTTGTTTCTTTGAAAAATCTCTCCATTCTAATCCTGCAATTTCTAATACTAAGATAACTCAGTGAGGAAATTGCCTGTTCCGTTCAAAGCTGGACTCAGAGAGGTAGAGAGTGAGTGAGACTCCACAGGGCCCACTACGTGTGACGATTTGAGAGATGAGTCCAGCACCCTACCATGGTGCAAGTCCTCTGGAGCCATAGTTTCTGGAGGAAGGAGGATTCTTTTTAAAAATTAAAAAAAAATTTAATTGAATGAAAGATTCTTTAAACTCTATAGTGCTTTACAATTTTCAAAAGTTTCACACACGATATCAGATAATCCCATAATAACCCCCCTTCTTTCCCCTACCTTTATATTGCCCCCTTCCCCTTCCCTCTCCTCACTGGTAACCACTAGTTTGTTCCTTATATCTGTGAGTCTGCTTCTTTTTTGTTTTATTTACTAGTTTGTAGCATTCCTATTACTTCTCAAGTTGCTGGACCTATGGTGGTTTTCGGCCAGCATTGGTGATGCAATGAGTTGGTCCTGAGACCATCCTTGTGAATTACTGTAGTGTAAGAACACAGGAAAGATGGCAGGTTCAAGAAAGAGATAGCAAAGAGAAGAAGAATGACATTAGAGTAGGAGTGAACTTCCAGGCCAAAGGGATTGGCCTGATGGAAAATGTTAGTCTTTGCTTACCACTTTGTCTAACAGGTGACTTTCTTTTTTATTTTTTCCAGGAAAATTTTACCTTTTCTTTATTGTGTTTCTTTTCCATATACTGCGATAAATCTATATTTCTTTCTCATTTTACTGTATCATAATGTACCTAGGATAGACTCTACTCTCCTGGTCCCTTTGCTGCCAGGCTCATTTCTCTTTCAAATTTCACTGTAAGCAACCTTTTCTAAGTAGATTTCACTAAGCTCCCTCAGCCCTCGCTAAGCTCAGGGACCCACTTTTGGGTTTTCTTGTTATTTCTATCATAATTGTGACCATATCATTTGAAATTATTCACATAATCTGCTTTCGTCTATGGGCCCCATGAGGGTAGAGATTGATTTATTTATCTCTTTATTCACAGGACCTAACCCACAGCCTAACACATTTAGGTGTCCATTTATTATGTTTTGGATTGAACTGTTCTACAGCCCCATCTGAGGCGTGTTTGCCTGTACTTCTTCCTGGATTTCGTCACTCACCTTCTTCTGGCCCTAATCACCTGGAAAGAGCCACACTGGTTCACAGTCTATTCTGCTGCATCCCCGAACCCTCACATCTTTAGTTTGTTCCTACTCTTGAATCTCAGCGATTGATTTACTCCTGCTGATACTAGGGCCCCGCCCATTCCTCTGGTGTCCCAGAATTCTATTTCTTCTACCTCTGTGCTTTAGAATGCAAAGGAATAATTTCCCTGCAAAGAACTGCTAGGAAGACTACAATAGTAGTTCATGGTTTTCAAAAATGTTTTTTTGCATGTTTTCCTTTTTAAAACATCTCCCCTTCTCCCACAGCTGCATATTCTCCTGAATTTGAGAAAGTGTTGGATTTCGCATTTAAATGCTCCTGGTCCCAGTGGGAGTTTTCTTTTCTTTTTTTTTTTTTATTCCTGATAACATATCAAGAAGGTACAATATTATTTCCATTTGTCCCCTTTTCAAAATGTAACATCTAGGACACAAATGTTGAAAACTCTGCCTCTAGATAAAGGAAAGCAATGGACGAAATACTGGGATTAAAGGTGGGAAGGCCAGACTCAGTGTCTTCTTAGCTAATTATTTTTTAGCTGTGTTGTTTGGCCCAGCGCTGAGGAAATACAGATTACATTCAAATTCAGAATGGGAAATGGGAAATTATAATTCCTATTTCTCTGAATTAACAAGAAACTAGTTTTATGATTTCTGTTTTATGATTCTCCCTCCCCTGCGCCTCCTCCACTTCATAGACCAAGAGGCTCCTTTTAATTTATCTTCCTTTGGACCAATATTTTACTGCACTTTTTTCTCTGTAATTACTAGATTTAACTTTAGAGTTCTGAAATATAATATGTAACTTGCAAAGGAACTTTTATAACTGCTCATGATCTGATTTAACTTAAGAAACTTTCTTCATGCTTCAGTTTCATACCATTTGCCAAACCTTTGACCGACCAGCTTCATTACTGCTAGGGTCCTTTCCTTTGAGATTTTAAAATGTTTTTTTAATTCCAAGTATTCTCTCTTATTTGTTCATTCTTTGCACTTTTCTGACCATGCTCCCAATTTTCTTTTAGAAAATGTGGCCAACACGACTTGTACCAAGAAGCAGGGAGGAATTTTTTGCATCTTTTTTGGAAGACATAAATAAAAAAATTTTACCTTTAGCTTGTCTTCATAGTTCACATTGCTTTTCACAACCGGTTAATTTTTTTTTTTTTCTGATTACCAAGATGTTAATTGTCACTACAAAATTTTGGGGAAGTACAGACAAGTACAAAAAACCAATGATTCTGATTTTGCCACTGGGATAATTTTAGCACCCTCACATCTGTCGTCTCCCCTAGTGCTCTTTCCTTATACCATTGCAAAGACTCCTTTGGTGATCATTCCCCCTGAGGGTTAATAAGTTAAAAGTTACTTATAGGGCTTCCTGTTGCTCTGATAATGCCAACATCAGCATGTATTCCACAATATAACTTTTGAAAATGTAGGGTCATCATTTGACAAAATTGTATTAAAAAATTTTCCGTTAGAAAACCCCAGATTGATTTTACATTTCATATCTGCCAAATATTGCCTAATACAACTTCCTTGGAAATGTCAAGGCACCACAGTTTCTAGGAAGTTGTTTGGCTGTGCGTGCACCAAGGATGTGTCTCTGAAACTAAAATAAGTATGCGAATAGATCACTTAATATAAGAAATTGATCTCTTTGGGATCTGAGGTGGCTTTGAGGCACCTGCAGGGTGTCCAGGACTCGGCTTGAGTTCACCTTCTTGCTAAAGGAGGCACTGACACAAGACTGTATGAAACTCCAGGACCCATTTGAGTCCTCCTTGGCTTGAGGATACCCAGAAATGCCAGAGTTTATCTGTAAAGCAGAAGGATACTTTGGACCAAACCCTGGTAGGATGCTTAGAGCAATCTGAGGTCCTGATCTCTCTGGTCCATCCTAATGGGACAAGGACTCCACCTTTCCCATGCTAATGACATCCGCTGGCAGCTCAGCCCTCCAGGAATCTGGTAGGATGCTGTATGCTCTCCTGCCCCATCCCTCACTTGCCAGCTGCAGCAGCTGTGATTTTGGAGCTGGGGGTTTCCAGTCCTCCCCAGGGGCCTGGGAATCCTTGCAGAATTCTCCCAGGCCAGGCGTTCCAGACCTTTCTGAGGCCATGGCCAAGCTCCTGAATGCCCCACACCTCCAAATTGCCCCTTTCCTCAAAAAACAAAGATTTTAACTGGAGTAAATAAAATACTATCAAATTCTGGAGACAAAGAAACCAGAAAGGAGGTTGGTTGCAACTCGTAGACCATTTTTGTTTTGGTCTCGTAAAAAACCAAGCTACACTTCTTTTTCCTGTTTGCCTCCTAAAGCTAAGGGGTTTCTTCCACGGACTTCTATTCAATGGGACACTGGCCATTCTAAGTTGTTTTTAGTGTCCTGAAAATAACTGGATTATATTTATTTCCATTAACACAGAATAATTAAGATGAAAATTGATCTAGTGTTTACCAAATGCTAAAACACTGTTTTTAAGGACTTTACATGTATTAACTCATTAAAGCTCAGAATAATCCTATGCGCTAGGTAATATTATCTATATTTTAAAGGAATGTAGAGACCTTAAATAACTAGCTGAAGGATCACGAGGCTAGTAAGTGACAGAGGCAAGGCTTAAAATGCAGCTAGCTGGTCGCTGGGCTCAGGTTCTTAACTGCCGTATCTTCTACCTCCCAACAGCATGAGCTGGAAAGAATATACATATATTGGCCACTCCACGGGGCATGAGGGATCTTAGTTCCCCAACCAGGGATCGAGCCCATGCCCCTTGCAGTGGAAATGCAGAGTCTTAACCACTGGACTGCCAGGGAAGTCCCTGGAAAGAATATTTTAAAAGTCTTAGTGACATGCTTGGTTCACCTAACTTATCCCAGGAATTTACTCCTAAAATTCCACTTACTAAAAGGCTAAGTAAAAGGTACAAGGGGAAAACCAGAATAAAAAATAGCCCCTTTCCCCCATTTCATTCACCTCATTTAAAACAAAACAAGACAAAGCTAGGTTCCGAGATCCTGGCATCTGTGTGCCAAATTGGGGTTTTCCTCTGTAGGCTTTCAACAGTCAAGGAAACATATGGTCACTCGGGGTCCTTTGATGAGCAGAATTCTGCCATGTAAGTGAAATGTTCAAAACAATGATCAGAAAAGACAGGTACAGAAGAGACTCTTGAGATGAAATAAAAGTTTTTAAAAAAAGAGCCACTATAATCGTAGCAGAGCTTGAAAGCTTTTGCAGAGAATGTATTGAATAACATTTATGGAAAGAATAATTCTGACTTCCAGATGTGAAAAATAAAAGGTTGCAAATATTGGGAAATTTATGGTGGGGTATGGTAAAGTATAACATATCTGAGCTAATATATTTTAAAACCTTTTTCTTCTTTGACCCAAACCCAGAATATGTTCTAAGCCTCTTATATTTTCCTCATTAGCTATGGATTACAGCCACCAAGCAAGGGGTGAAAGCTGGGACTTTCTTCTGGTCTGTGTAAGTTACCTCTATTTTGTCAATGTAAAATTACAATTATGATTCCATTTAAGAAACATTCATTCAATTTGATTTCACTTCAGTTAAATGTTAATATACTCCAACATATGAATATTTTCTGATTCAAAATAACCCTCCATTTTTTTTTTAAGAGATCCTCTCTGTCTTTTTCCCTCTCCATTCTCTTTTCCTCTTCTCTCTCTCTTTTCCCCCATCTTTTCTTAATAGAATGTAAGGAAGATTTTCTCTCCTACATCTAGTCACCCTTTAGAATTTTCTGTCCCTGTTTATAGGTTTTTGGTAACTTGGCACCTAAGGAATGTATATTTCTCAGGCTATTTATTGCTGTGATTTGAATTATCGTTTTCTATAAATATATTACAACATTCTATATTTATTTGGGTTCACAACTTTAAAAATCGAATATGGTCTCAGACAGCTGATGTAGTGGTCTAGAGACTGGAAACTCCAGACAGGAGACAAGAGGAAGTCTCTGTTTCCACCCCATTTTCCCACTGAGCTCCAGGATTTCCCTAATAAGAAAAAAGGAACTACTTCTCTTCCCCGCAGAGGTGATGGGGGGATTAGTAGTTAATGTTCATAAAATAGCCTTAAGATGAAACTTACCTAATAAAAGTGTCAACATGTTGATTACTTTTGAGGCTCCTTAGTAAGAAAAGGAATCTGTTTCAACTTTCATGGGGATTTTGTTCCCACTGAGATGTTCTTTCCATCTTTATTTTTTTTAACCACCTAAAGCTGTTTCCATATTTGCCTCTTATGCCGTAACAAAAATATGACTATTCTGTAATAGTGCACTGAGAGCAATCACAGGTTCAGATTAACACAGAATGGTACCATCTATATTCTCCAAATTCAGGAATAAAGGTAGCTTTTTCAGATTTGAAGGGCTAAATTGAAATTGGGTTTGGTGATTTGAAGCTAACACAGAGTGTCCCTTAACAGTCTCCCACCCCCCTTTTTAAAAAGAGATTTTCTCTGTTGAGAAATAAGCATATGTTAGAAATGACATGTAGATTTACCAATTTAATCTTATGCATTACATTTTTTAACCTTTGATTGCCATTGATACTTATAGAAGTGATTTCTTCTGCTCCACAACATATTTGGCTGGTAGAATGGAGAGGTGCCAACGGCAGAATTAATACCTAGTCCCCACCCTTTACCCCCCGAAACTGCCGCAGAGCTTCATTGAAAAGCCTTAGTGTTCCGGTTTTGAATGGTAATTTTTTCCACCCATTTCAAACCTTATAAGAAGGTAGCTTTTTTGCTCCAAAGATGTCTGTAGTTTGCTTTGCTTCTCAGACTATTCTTTTATTTCTATATCCCGGAAGTGACTTGGATTCATTTTCTTTCTTTCTTTTTAAAAAATCTCTTTAGAACTTAAAAAAACTTGTCATACTTCCAGGTATTTAATAATTTAATATTTAATATGTCAAGGAAATCTACACGTCATAGATTCTGAAAATTTTAAAATTTAAAACCAGATTCAGCCATAGACTTAGACTTTAAAGGTCATCTTTTTAACCTGGTTCCATGTTGCAACCTAGAATTAGTCTAGCTTTTCAAAAGATAGCATTTCATTTCAAAATCATCCTCAGCTGAGTCTCCATTACATTCTTTTATGTCAATTCATGTTCAAAGGCAGTAATTCCCTTTATATATGGGTGTCTAGATTGATTCCAATCCCAGCTCTGTCACATAATAAAGTGCTGACCTTGGACAGGTGATTTAATGTCTCGATAAATGAATGTCCTCATCTTCAACTAGGAATGATAGTGTCTTCATCATAGGGTATCGTGAAGGTAGAATGAGTTAACTTATTTAAAGTGCTTAGTAGGGTACTTAGTACATAGAGAACGGCCAATAAATGGTATCTGTTTTCTTATTCACATTACCTCTTTCAACAATGACCAGAAAATGGCTATATATGACCTAAGGTAATTTGTTCCCCTTTAGCACTAAATCACTCATCTGGTTTATTGAAACTCATCTAGTTTATTTTCCTACTTCCTTTTCTTTTTCTAAAACATGTCTAATGTACTTGGTGTCATGAGAAATTCTATATCAATCAATAATGGTAAAGGCAACAGCATGCATCCCATTTCCCTTTCTGTTTGGAATACACTCTTCCTTTGTCAGATCTGTTTGTGCCGTGTCTGCTTCAAAATTTAAACATTAATGGCTAAGGGCCATGTCTTTTTTGGTCTCTGAGGTTATTTCATAAAGATAATCTAAAGCGACTAGGAAACTTAGAGACCACTGTGTCTGACTCCTCACGTTTGAGATCAGAGTGCCAAGGCTTAGAGAGGTAAAATGTACCCAAGGCCACAGTTACAGTGGGTACTCAGGCCTCCAAAGTACTCATGCTCTTACCACACACACGTATTCATCCCCTGCCCAGAAAATGGCAATTACCTGCTTCTCGTTCCAAGCAGAGAATGGTGACTTCCCCGTAATAGCTTTTTTTTTTTTGGTAGGAGTATCTTGTATCTTTTTTCGTATTCACAGAAATGCCTTGAACGTAATACGCTTTTAACAAATATTTCGTGAATGAGTATACTATATCTGTGGGCCTGTGAATCCAGTACATAATGATAAAAGCTAACTTTTTTGGGGGGTGGGGATGCCACGTGGCTTGTGGAATCTCAGTTCCCTTACCAGGGTTTGAACCCTGGCCACAGCAGTGAAAGTCTGGAATCCTAACCACTAGGCCACCAGGGAACTCCCGTAAAGCTAACATTTTTCAATGTGTCAGGCACTATTCTAAGTATTATCTCTTTTAATCCATACAACAACCTTATAAGATAGGGACTATTATTCTCCTCATTTTATAGAGGCACTAAAAGGTTAAGTCACTTGTCAAAGTCTCATCCAACACAAACCCAGGCATTCTGGCCTCAGAGCTGATGCTTTTTTTCCCTGCTCCCTACTTGTCAAGTACCCCATCCAAAGAAGGCATTAAAGGGTGAACATTTTGAGCTTGAAACAAATTCTATTAATTTGTATTTTTCCATTAGCATCAAGTGAGTCCATCAGAATCCATTTTTGTGACTTAACACCAATTACATAAAATAAAGCAGCTTGTAGGTAGGTAGTGAAGTAAGGTAAAATGAAAAGGCTACAACATTCACTTTTTTTTAAGTTAGGAAAGAATTCCAAATATGTAATTATTTTGTTCAGATACAGGGGATTTCTAAGGCTGAAGAATTAAATACCTTCAGCGATTAACCTGGCTTTGCTATGCCTACTTCAAATTCAATTATAGGTTATAATAGACAGGATCGCATTTATTCAATAGCGTTGGAATTTGTTTAAATGAGAACTTGTTTTATGGTAAACATGACTTTTTGGGGGCTGGTAGGATAGTTCTAGACAGAGAAGGCGCCAGAGAGAAGAATGACAAATCCTTTACCTATTGGAAATAGGGGGAGGCTGCCTGAGTAGAGTCCCTGCCAAGTCCAGCCATCTACCGTGGCTCTGAAGGTTCGTCTTTCCTCCTACCTCTCTCATGCTCACGTCTACCAAAAGTAAAAGCTGAAATGGCTCACCCAACATCCCACAATAAATTTTTAGTAGTTTATTTTTTAGAGCAGTTTTAGGTTCACAGCAAAACTGAGCAGTGGGTACAGAGAGTTCCCATCTACCTCCTGCCCCCAAACACGCACAGCCTCTCCTGGTATCAACATCCCCACCAGAGTGGTACCTTTGTTACAAATGATGACCCTGCATTGACACATCATTATCACCCAGAGACCATAGTTTATATTAGGGTTCACTCTTGGCCACAGTAATTTTTATAGTTTATATGAGGGTTCACTCTTGGCCACAGTAATTTTTACTATCTACAATTAAACTTAGGCTTCAGTTTAAATTCATCATAAACATGCTCTAATACTTGGTCTTGGATGGGGAAGCAGAAAAGTATGTTGTGTTCCTTGTTAGGAAAAAATAAGCAAATTTCCCCACAAATAAAGACATCACTCAGCCTGTGAGCATCTTAATGTAACTCAGCCCATGATACAATGCTATCATGTGAGCCGAGAGCTCTTGAAATGAGTGCCAGATTGAGGGTAATTATATTTCAACAGAGGAATGAGACTTAAACACAAAAGTCATTGTGGGTGAAGATTATACCCTTTTTGTCAGTCTCATAATTATATGTGCCTATTCTTGATAGATTTTTATAGAGCTAGAAAAGAATTTCAAGCATACCTTTCCTAAACACTGATTTTATACACGAGGAACTTAAAGTTTCAGATTAAATAATGTTTCTTAAGTCATATAACTACTTAGAGATCGAATGATAGCTTATCATGATCGTTAATGAAAATAGGGATTATTTTTATCACTCACTATGTGCTAGGCACTGTACATGCCTTTTGCCTTTCTTGTCTCATTTCCCCCTTACAAGCAAGCTGTTCCGTGTGCTTTGCTATCATCTTTATTTTACTGATGAGCAAACTGAAGCTGAGAGAGGTCAAGAGGCATAGAGGTCAAGAGAGGTCACACCAGCAAGAGGCAGATTGGGGATATAAGTCCTGGCCCTTCGGTGGCTACAACGAATGGCTTTACCCACTAAATAGCAATGATTCTGAGTGTGGGGCCCTTTCCGCCTGTAGCTGAGCCTCTGATAAGCATGGCAGATTCTTCATTTGACTGTGAATCAGAGTTTCCAGTGTTGTCTTCTGTAGCAGAGGCCGAGCAGCATGACATATGGCAAATAGAAATGGACGTTTAAACACTAATTGGAAAAGGGATCTTTTACTACGACAAAGTGAAAACAGATGGTGGTAAATAGAGAGCCCTTGGCCTGGGTGCAGGAGTAAGAGTTCATCAGGCTGGAGATGGTAGAAATGCAACCTAACCTCACGCTTTGCCGGTTGCTACCCTACAGGATGATCCCTCATGAGCGGAGGATATTAACCATCCTGCAGTGGCTCACTCTGCCAGACAACGAAAGGTATTTGCTTCCCCCCATCCCACCTGGCTCTCCCTCTTCTTTCTTTAGTACATTTCCACTTTAGGTTGGAATTGGGTGAATAACCAGATGGACTATGCAATAGAAGCACAGCCACTGTTTGGTATTATTACAAGTTTTGTGGTTCTGAGCCTTAAACGTGGCTTCCCTAAGAAGGACTTAGGTTACAATGGACGTAGGTTATTGAGGACCATTTAATTACATGAATTACTCCAGCTATCAATCCTGGTCACCGCAGCAGAGCTCGAGGGAGTTCCCGGCTTTGATAAATAAACCAGCAGCATCCCAAGGATTGGGGAAGCATGAAGACTGACTTTTAAAAAAGATTTTATTTTATTGAAGTACAGTTGATTTACAATGTTGTGTTAGTTTCTACTGTACAGCAAAGTGATTCAGTTATGCGTATATATACATTCTTTTTCATATTCTTTTCCATTATGGTGTATCACAGGATGTGGAATATAGTTCCCTGTGCTATACAGTAGGACCTTATTGTTTATAAACTCAATATATAATAGTTTGCATCTGCTAATCCCAAGCTCCGAGTCCAGAAGACTGACTTTTCACTTGAATGGAGTTGTTCTTTCAGGCTGCAGATTGCATGGCCCCTGTGAATTTTCACTGGGTTCTATTATTTTGGGGATCCAAGACCAGAGTTTGCCTTCAGATTTTCCTCATGACTTTTTATTCCTGAAGGTAGTAACCAGGCAGTTACCCCAGCAGGGATGGTGTAGGGGGTGGTGGGTGTTTTTTTTTCTTGTAGAAAAAAAACAAGAAAGAGACTTTTTTTCATGCTAAGACTAACAGTGGTTGGGCGATGAGTTAACTTGATTTGAGAGGATTTTTTGGTAATGTGTAGGGATATTTGATATTCTTTGTCATGTGTGGTTTGGGGGAGATTCTGAACCTTCCAATTTTCCCGTAGGCCTTCAGTCTATGCCTTCTATTCCGAACAACCTGATTTCTCTGGACACAAATATGGCCCTTTTGGCCCTGAGGTTAGTAGCTTATCTTCTGCCTGAGGAGAACCTGTGTCCCTGGGCCGCCTAACCTACTGACCTTTTTCAGGATTTGTACAAAGTCTCTTAGGGTGTTTGTATGTGCCAAGTGGATACAGAGTCAAAGAACTACAAGAGTAAAAACATTTAAAAGAATCTTAAACATACGTGGTTTTCTTACAGGAACTTCATTTCAGATTAATTTGCTATTCAAACATATCCTAAACTTGGTGTTCATAGGAAGGAATATATTCCAGCCCTGCAGGCATCAGTCAAAAGATGAAGGATCGGGAATGGTTGGCATTTGCCATCACTGGGATAGGAGTAGAAAAGAATCTGGAGATGAAACCTGCAATATAAAACATTGCAACTGAATTTCAGCTCCCTTAAAACGGTTATGCTGTTCAGAGAGGGTAGGTCAGCTCACTAACCTTAGCAGGTACAAGCAACCTGGAATATTTGATAGCATTGGACATTTTTTATTTGATAAATCTTGACATACGTATATACCTGTGAGACCATCACCATGATCAAGAGTATGAACATATCCATCACCCCCCGAAGTGAAACAAATTCTTAATTGGGAGAAATACACTGTTGAATGAATCTGTTTAGCAGAGCAACGTGACACCCTTGTATCACTCGGGGATCTTAGTAGAAGACAATCTGTCTATAAGGTAGCATCCAGTATAACTTCAAATTCAGGAGGTGGGAAAGGGAAGGAGATATTTTATTATGTTCCTCTTTTATTGAGAGATGGAAATTTTCCCAGTGCTTCAGCATAGATCATTTTAAAAGATGCTGGGATTTGCAAATCTAAATCTTTTAATCTATGAAATGTTTTCCACCTCTCTTTCTTACTAGGGTGGTGAGGTCTACATCAACATAATAAAACTTGATTTGGATGAGAAATTGTTTCATAAACTCTTTGAGGATGGGAACTACCTCTTATTCTCTGATAGCCAATGGCAACACTGTTGGCTATAATTAAGTTTGTTATGTTCAGCATAAGGATGACTAAGCAAATACAGATAAGTGTGTCTTGGTTTAAGTATTTCTGACCAAAATGCAGCATGTTTAAACAAAGACAGTAAATACTAAGGAGCCATAAATACTTCTGAATGCTTTAAAATCAATTCAGCGGTGATGTCCTTAAGCACTGGAAACTAGAGGCTGTGTGAACCCATTCCTAGTTTACCTTAAATCATTGAAGTCATATAAGTCTCATGCTCTTTTTCCTATTCCTTTGATGTTTAACCACTGGTGCATGATTATGAAACACAAATGATAAAATGAGATAAACATCTGCGTACATGAAACACAAATCTTATTCTTGCCAGAGCAAGCGTGGCTGTTTTATCTTTAGGGTGTTTTTCTTTGAGATTAATCTAAAGTGAACAATAGGAGCCTCATTTTATTAAGATGTTAAAAAAAAACCCCAAACCCTAAGCAGTTCCATGTACCCTATTTAAAGGTTCAATTTTGTTGGGATAATAGTATCCCCTAAAAGACCCTGTGGCACAGGCAAACAGCGCTTGTTATAGCCGCTCTTTTAAAAGCCAGAGGCCGGTACTTTAAGAGGTTAGGAGCTACTCCAGTTGCTCAGCTGGTAAGCGAACTTGGAGACAGAACTTCTGACTCCCAGACTAGGAAATAATTTAACTCTCCTTTAGTCCAGGAGATAAGCAAAGTGGTCCATTAATAACTATGTTCAAACCACACAGAACGTTTTCTTTATGTCAAACGTTGGCTTTTTACAACACAGAGGAGGTATAATTCTTATAATTTTCATTTCCTTAAAAGTTATACGGCTTAGCAATGAATCTTCTTTATTCATTAACATCTCTGGATTTCTAATATGTGTAATTCAGTTATAATTACTTACTTGAAAGTGTGTTTTTGATCAAGAAATAAACTAAAAGGTTCTTTTAAAGTCCTGAGCAGTGATAAATGAAGCATAATATAGGACACTTTAATTTGCTGTAATGATGGTTCTATGTTCAGGATTCTCATAAATATACAAACATTTTTTCCTGAGTATTTTTGAATTAAGAATTGGAAGTATTCATGCTATGTTCTTTTTAGTGTTAATGCTTCTTATAACTGGGATATTCTCATATATCTACGGGGTAAAACACTTACGATGTATCTTCAGTTATGATAACCTGAGAACTTGGTCACTTTCTCTCGAACAAGCAAGGGATGTTTTCAGATTTCAATGATTTCTCATTTGGTTCTAGGAATCTTATTTTTTGCTGAAAGAAAAACAAAACAGTTTAAAACATGAAACCAAAGCCAGCAAAACCTATTTTTTTGTGGTAGACGAATTGGTTTATCTACCTATATATCCCTCATCTACACTTATTGTGCATGTAGCTGAAATATTATTTTTAAAATCAGTAACATGTTATCTTTTACACCTTGCATTTGAAATTTAATCGAAATGATTCAATCTGGCAAAATGTTGTGTGCTCCAACACACTTGAAGTTTGTGCTTTATTCGCTTAATACCTGAGTATACTTTTTTCAGGACGATTCGCAAACATTGGGCTAATAGCTTCGAGAAATGGCGTATTGCTCCTGGTTTCACAGTGTAATGGTGAATGAATGTTCAGAAAATATGCTTGCTTTTGGTTACTGGCGCAACCTTTTTCTCTCTGAGCTTCTGTGCTTTCCCTGTGACTCTCCGTTCAGCTGCTCTTCAGGCCTAGAGGCAGAGCTTTGGCTGGCTAGTTACTACCTCCAGATGGCAAAGTATCCTGAAAAGCAGGGAAAGTTGCCCATCTCCTTCCCATCCTTTTAATAACCTCAGGCTAAATCTTCTAAAGTCAGACTAAAGTATGGCTGGTCAGTGAAAACTTAGCTATTGTCAACCTCTAACATTCAAAGAAGGAAATCCATGCAATATAATCCCTGGATGAAAACTCATTTTGACTAAAATCCTGTTTCTCCTGCCGCCCATCTAACCTGCTGCCATCAGAAGGGCTACCTTTGGAGCCTTCGGAATGTTGAGGTCTCTTGCAAATGGCCGAGTGTCTGATGGGCAGACTTGAGCGCTAGCTGAATGAATTTGGTGACCATGAAATGGTAAACCCTCTTTTTTCCTTTTGCTTCTCATCTCATGGGGAATTGGCTAAAACTAGAGGCATTAAAAAAAAAAAAAAAAACCAAACCAGAGTCCGTGGGACTGTCTTTCCATCGCTCTGCTGGAGAGAGAGGATGAGACAGCTGTGGCGATGCCTTTGCAGTGGCTTGCTCTGGAAACAGTGAAATCGCATGGCACATGGCCTCCTTTTTGGATACACTAACATCGTTCCTCCTCCTGGCCCTTCTTGCATTTGAATGAGTCTCGGAACAGTCCCACCGAGAGAAATCAGCTAGGTAGACAGCAGGGCTTGCTGCTTTAATTCACCTTTGCACCATCAGCAAATCAGGGGCCTGTTTTTCTCCAGCATTTGGAAGTCCCAAAAGGTTACCTTCCTCATCTACAGTTTACGTGTCAGCCTTTACTGCTTGCTAGGTTTTCAAAACAAATGCATAGTATAGCCACTACCCCCCAACCACCGCTAAAAGGGGAATGTCTAACGGAAAGAGTATAAGTAGAATCTTTCTTGATATATTTATGTATACCAAGATGAAGAGGTCTCGATGACTTTTTACATTTGACCTAATTTTACAAGAGGATTTTTAAAAAGACAGTTAGTTCTATTTATGGTTACCTCTTAGCTCAGAGTTCTTCTCTACCAGAAACCTAAATTATCAGTGGGAAGTTCTCTCTGCTGATTTGTGGGAGTACATTCATGACCAAGGAGGACTGCTTAGTATTTATATTTCATTCCATCCTTGGTTTAAAATTTCTTTTCCTGATCCTTTCCAATGAAGGTGACAGTTGCTTGGATATAGTTGGTGGTCTGAACAGATACCTGTTAGAATCTGAATTGGAACCGCCTCCGTGAATCCTTTAGCACTTTGAAACGACCAAGTGACCAGTATTCCATTTAGTTTTCAGCTAGTACTTTATACATGGAGAGCTTTTCATAGCCAAGGACCAGTCTCTCCGTAACGCAGGAGTTATGGAATGCAGGATTCTGTGTCACCTTCAGGTCTATCCACAGTAGGTCCCTCAGCCAAAAGAGACCCACACGACCAGATTCTCTTAAATTATATACTTGTTCTCAGTGAAGAAGCTGTAACAGCAACATCAAGATCAATCTAGGAGGCTTCTCTCTGTAGAGTTCCCCGAATCATCCCTCATACCAACTTTTTCTCACTTAAGGAGTCAGTTTTTTTTAACTAAGACTCTACTGACCCCAGATGGCAAAGTGTGAGCTTTATGATCTGACCCAGAGGGACAGACGACTTCTGAGTCCAGACATCTCTATCCGCCAGTACAGGACAGTAGTTATGGTTCACCTTTTACTCCGGCTAAGAGACCTAAGAGGAAGGTTACCCCTAAGAGGAGACAGGAAAGACCAGTTACTCCTCCAAAGAAAAGAAGAAGAAAATTACATAGGATGGACCATTATGCTGCGGAAACTCGTCAGGACAAAGTAAGTTTATCTATTGTTCCAACGCTTTGTGGCGGGCAGGTCTGAGTTGAAGGTTTCCTTCAGTGCCTTGGTTTGAAAATCAGCTGAATATGTTAAAGAAAAAGACTGGTGTGTCATCCTTGGCTTTGAGTCCAGAAGAATCTGCTCCTTCAGAGGTTAACACTGATGTGAAGACTTCTTGATCTTTCAGCCAGAAAAAAAAAAACCCAACAACTTCTACTTTCTTTAAAGTTAGTTGCCCCAGACTAGTATGAATATTTAGGCTTGAATGAGTGTTAAGAAAGCTATTGGTTTTGCTTGCACTTTTTCACAGAATTTGTCACAGTTTCTTGTAGCCTTGGTTCTTGAGAACAACCCAGCAAGGTAGTCGGGGAAATCCTGAGAGACGGTATAGATTAGAACTCAATAGTATATTGGACTAGATTAGTGGTCTGTACCTTCCAAGTTCAGAAGAGGTCTTAGATGATAGGCAAGGGAAGAGCTGAGACAGAAGGAGAGAGAAAACAATGGGTAGATAGAGTTGGGTGTGTTTTCTTATAGAGATATGAGCAATGTGTACTCTTTTCATTACATTCAGAATAGCCTATAGGTTGTTACTTTTCTTGAAACCTCCGGAGACCTCCGAGGCACTATCTTATTTATGATGGTTTGAACTAATCACTAAGAAATAGGTTCTGGATTTTAACCTGAGTCATCTTTCTGACTGAAGAAAATGAATTTGTTGTCAAGGGTTGACAAAGGTTGTGCATTTGGTATTTCTTTGTCTAGGTGAAGGTCTTAGAGGAGAGCACAGTTTACTCAGAAGCAAATACCGCTAAGTCTACCCTCTGTTAGTCTCTTCAGATTATGCCGCACACATCATTATGAAACTTTCACTTGTGACTTACTCCTTGGGACAGAATTTGAAACACTGACTCCTGTCATGAAGAAAAAAAAATTTACACCTGATTTTACTGATGACATGATATGAGGAAAGGTCAAGAGTCATCTGAGAAGATGCTAATGGAAGATAAGATTATGTGTCTGAGGAAAAAAGATATGCCGATCCCTTCCGTTCTTATCTCTGTCATTTTGAGTGGATATGTGTGACTGTGGCTAAGCTGTCCAATTCAGCTGAAGTTCTGTCAAGTGTTTGTCTGATGGGATGTTTCTTGAAAATCTTTCCATTGCACAGAGATGAGAGGGAGAAGGAACTCTCTAGTAGGTTCTATCAGAAACTTCCACTTGAAACAAGAACGTGAGAGATGGATTATGATTCTTGTGCTTTGGAAATGTTCTTCAGAGAACTGAGTTTTCAGTTTTCGTTAGGCTAAATAAGAAACCTTCTAGAACGAGCTCAATGATTCACTTCTATTTAAGTTTGAACTCTTGTAGATTTTTATTTTACTCAAAATCAGCTTGAAAGGGACTAAATTGAGACGTAGTAGCTTGCTTCTTAGAAGTGGTCCTTCTATTAAGAACCTATTGTTGTCAGAAATTGACAGTAAGTTTTTTGGAACACTAGATGGGTCTCTTTGTATTAATGATGCTCTAATTTGGCATCCAGTGGAAGGTTACCATTTAACCTCAGAACTGCTTTTGATTCACTTAGCCTCCATCTTCTTGCCATGGTTCAAAGCCTAGGTGATTTCACGTAGGGAACAAGAGGCTTAAACTGTCCATCTGACTCACTCTCAAAATTCTTGGACTTAAAGAACATTGTTACATTTTAGAAAAGCCATTTTATCTCTAAAAAAAGAAGTGCCCTTAATTTTTCTATTTTTATGTCAAAGAATCTTGAAAGGGATTGAATGAGGAGAGGTTTTACATTCCTAAAAGAATATAAATAAAAATGCTTAGACCATGTTTCCATTTAGAAAGGCAGGAAAATCTCCCTAGACAAAGCTCTGCCTCTGGGCCTGAAGTTTTCTTTCCAGAATGTTTTAGGGGTAGAAGATCTATGAGATACTGAAAGGAAGAAACAAAAACCTTCAGGGACTAATTTGCTCCTTTTTCCAGATGACAAATCCTCTGAGGGATATTGACAAAACAGTGGGGCAATTAATGGATGGACTGAAACAACTAAAGCTGCATCGCTGTGTAAATGTCATCTTTGTTGGAGACCATGGTAAAGCTTTGTTTCTTTATCCAGATAGATAATGTTTCTGATGTGCTGGGGAAATCCTTGCTCTCAGAATCCCAGGTTATATTCTTCTTCCTCCTTCCCCCTTTCTTCAGGATGGAGAAAGAAATCGAACCGTGACTCAAAATTATGAGATGACCTGAGATGACCCTGCATACATTTTGATCAAAACCAGGGAATTCCTGTATCTTCCTATTCTTCGCAGGAAAAGCCTTCCTACAAAAATCTGTCCCATATTAAAAAGTTGCAGGGAATTCCCTGGCGGTCCAGTGGTTAGGATTCGGCGCTTTCACTGCTGGGGCCTGAGCTCAGTCCCTGGTGGGGGAACTGATATCCCTCACGCTGTGCAGCATGACAAAAAAAAAAAAAAAAGATTGTGATATTAAGAGCTTCCTCTGTGAATGTGACATATCCCTCCTAGCCACATCCCCAAAAGGAGCCCACAGAGTTCATGTGGCTAAAAAAGAAATCTAAATATGATTAAGAAAAGGTGGAGACATAGGCTTCTTGTCAAAGAGGTGACATATGAGAAAAGTGATTTCCATGCATTCATTGAGCGAATTCAAGACCCAAGTCAGAGGACCCTGGATCAGTAGAGAAGACTGTTAAGAGAGGAAGAAGCAGTTTAGGGAGCTGTTTTCTAAATCACTGTATAAAGTAGAAAAATGTATGGATCAAGAGCATTATAAACATACATGTCTATAGAGCTGGGGTGGGAGGGTGCAGCAGAGAGCATTCTTATTTCACAGGTGTGCAGACTGAGAGTGCCTTCTGCCTTCCAGAACTAGCAAATTGAAATCATGGCTCTGGAATATGGGGCTGCTCCCTTCTAGGAGAGGGTTTGGAAGAAGAAAATTAGTTGACTTGGTAGTTCTGTTAAGAAGGGCAGATAACTCTCCCTAATCAAAACTCTGCTCTGGGCCTGAAGTTTTCTTTATAGAATTTTCTAGAAGATCTATAAGAAATTAAAACAAAAACAAAACAAAGAAAACCCTAGAACTAATATGCTCTTTTGCAGGGACTAAATGTAACCATCTGCAAAATCATGTTCCATGAGTTTGACTCGGTGGAGAGCTGCAGATAAGACAGAGAATGGGGAGCCTGTGACACAGCTGATTTGATTTAAGTTGCCCAGAGGTGTCAAGAACACTTGCTTACATGTTGGAGCCATATGTCTAAGAAGTAGATGGGCTCCAGTGAATCACAGGCTGGAGCCCTGTAAAAGTCTTGGCTAGATTCCAGTCTGGTCTTGCCAGTGTGCAGGCTTCTGAGACGAATAAATGGCACAGCATCTCTTTCTTAAAAGGTAGTATTGTCTAGTGTTCCAGAGCCTGGGTTTGGGAGTAAGAATGAGTTGCAATGGAGTTCAAATTGCACTGTGCCACTTAAAAGCCTCTCCAAGTCTCAGCCTCCTGGTCTGTAGAATGAGAACACTAATACCACCAACACAGAGTTAGTCTGGAGGGTGAAGGGTGATGATGCTTGAGAAGCACTTTGAAAGCAAGAGAGATGGTTCACCACTGGGGTGGCTAAAGTGACTTAGGAAGGCAGCAAATGGAAGATTCTTCTAGTCCTCCATTAACATGTATTTAGAGACTTTCCCTTCCTGGATTCACATTGTGCTTGAACATAACAGCTGTTTATTGCTTCAGTTATTCCTCCTGAGATTTTAAATGTTAAAAGGCAAGATCTATAACCCTTGTGCTATGTTGGGATATGTTTTTCTCTCTCTTCCTTCCAATTTATATTTTAAAAAGAGGGGTCTGGATCTGGGATCCCAGAAGGTGATAATTTGAATTTCACCATATCTGGGCCACTCTGAGTTATATTTCTTTATTCTAAAACCTTAGGAAATCCTTTACAGAATCATTTAAATTTCCCCACTTAAAAAATATTTGGATACTGGATTATACAAAGCAATATATTAAACCTTTATAGCTTCATCTCATCTCGTAAATTCTGAAATGACAATAAAGTTCTCTTCCAGCCTCCATAACTTGTGATTCTAAGATTTGAGTTTGTTTTTATTTATTTTTTTAATATTGATCAAGAAATTCTCCTTGATGGGAGGCAGGAAACAAATCATGGGTGGGAGGGGGCAATATTTGTTGGTGAAAAAATTCCCTACCAAGACCCTTTTTATATTCTAGTTGCTAGCTTTCAGTTTTAACTGATTATATTGTTTACAGCTTGTTTTCAGCGTTATTTTGTTTTTCAGTTTGGGTGGTCACTGGGGCTGACATTTTTCTTTCTCTGTCTTGTTGCCAGTATTGTTTTGTCAGTAACATCCAAGGCCACCAGTGAAGGCAGAGTGAGGACTGGTGATTATGTACTCAAGTCGTGAGATACATTAGAGAGTTGGAAAATGACATTTTGTAAAAGAGACACAGCTATTTACACCACCCTTAGCTGGGAAGAGTTTAAAGCAATCTGGGATTTTTTTTTTTTAAAGAATAGATCTTTTACATAATGACAGTGTAAATAGATTTTTTTTTTAAAGATCACAGTTACTTCCTTTATCTTGTTGGTCTTGCTGAATGACTTAAAATATAATTGAGATGATGCATTTTCAGCCTTCTAGTGCTGCAAGATGATATGACTAAAGCAATGTCTGATGAAAAGATTATATAATGAAACATTCAACAATTCAAAGTCAAGTTAAGGAACCTCAAAAGAGAGGGATCCTCATGTTAAGTTGTGAAAAACGAATTAAGGAGAGGCCTGAATGTTACCTTTAGTGTCTGTGTGGAGATTTTAATTTTACAGTTGCCTGAAAATACTTTCTTTTCCCTCCCCTTAGGAATGGAAGATGTCACATGTGATAGAACCGAATTCTTGAGCAATTACCTAACTAATGTGGATGACATTACTTTAGTGCCAGGAACTCTAGGAAGAATTCGACCCAAATTTAGCAATAATGCTAAATGTAAGTTGACTCTTAAAATACTAAATTGTTAGAAGGGTAATTTAGTGGAGTGAGAAAGGGTTTATTCTCTGAAGCTAGACTACTTGGGTGGAAATCCTAGCTCTGCTGCTCAGCTGAGTGAACTTGAACGAGTCATTGAAATTCTAAACCTCAGTTTTTTTCATCTGAAAAAAGGGATGATAAATAACAACTAGCTCATAGGGTTGTTGTGAAAATGAATCTATGTATATCACTTAGAATAGTTCCTGGCCCCTGGTAGCATTATGTAAATATTTGCTCTTGTTTTTATCATGTGAAAAATACACTTAATTTGAGTCATGTGTATAACCATAAACTTCTGCTTACAAGAGACAAACTTTCCAACAAGAGGTTCAGGTTTACTCTTTAGCTCAAGTGAGGGAGTCCATGACAGGGTTGGCAAAAGTGCCCTCAGACCCTAAACCTTCCTAGGAGCCTGGTTGAAGGGAACTCTTTACCTTTAGAAAAGTGATTGACAGAAAGCAGCAGGAGAAACTGTTAAGTCCTTGGAAAGTGGCAGCTGTTTTGAAAGATTAGAAATAAAATAAACAGGAATAATCTTATCACTCCTGTTTTACACATTTGGGTTATGATATGCCACTGACGAGAACTTTGATTTATGGGCTAAGATGTTTTACATGCTGCCCAACCACCTAGCTTTGGAGACGTGTATCGTTTTATTGGAGGCATGCTGCATTTTGGGGAAGAAAAAAATCCTTTAGCATTTTTAGCCTTGGGAATAAGAAACCATTGGCACCAAGCATAAAGCTTTGGAAAATTAAGTTTTTCCCAAACGATGTTACTGAGTCAACAGAAATGGGAACTGTTCCAAGGTCAGCTCCAGGCAACGCTGTGAAATAAACAAAACGTTGGTGTCTCTGCCTTCTCCTTTCCGAGCCTTTTCTATCTTCCGTGTCCTGTCTTCTCTGTTCCCTTGAGCTAGGCAGGCCCTTGCCAGAGTGGCCTGCAGAGTCACCACGGTACCTCTTGATCTAGTGTTTGCATTCTAGGACTTATGCAAGAAAGTTTTTGTCTATTTGGAAAAGTATTTCAAAACATCAGTAAAAGTAATGGGGAGGTTGCTTTAGGGGTGGAAGGAAAACTTTCCTAAGGCTAATGAAATGATAACTACCAATAATTAAATGTCTTGTATTTAAAAAAACACGTTCATACATTTTATGAGAGATGGGAGAGCGAGGTGTTTAAGAGCAAAAACAACGGTGGCAGGATGTGTGGGTTCAAATGTTTGCCAGCTGCTTCACTCTGTGACCTTAAGCTGCTTAAACACTCTGTGCCTTAGACTTCTCATCTGTACCATAAGGATTTGGGGGAACATTAAATGAGAGGTTCCCTACATCTCACTTAGATTAGTGTTTAGCACATAGTCAAGCTATGTAAATGGTAGTTATGACGATGATGTTTTCGTCACATCACTCTTTCAGCCAGACGTATACACATTTTATTGAATCCTTCCAGTGGCCTGTGTGTTAGGTATTATCATCTCCTCTTATAAACGGTGGCAATCAAGGCTCAGAGAGAGGTGAAGTAACCGGCTAAGAGGACGACAGTCAGTGAGCGGCAGAGCGGGGATTTAAACCCAGATGCTTAACTGACTCTTAACCACTACCCTGTCCTGGGGGCCTCCCCTGCTCTCTGGGAGCTGTTAGCAGGAGAAGACTGAGTATTTCAGAATTGAAGGATTGGTGTCCCACACGTGGACTCAGGCATTTGTTATTTCCTAGAAGTTCTCTGGGATTTATCTGAGCACAAGACTGCCCTGTGCTATTTATTTTTCTTCATTATCGAAGAACATGAACTCATTCTGTTTGGTCCCTTTGAGGACTGTGGTTGATGAGGTCACTGAATGTAGAGGTTCAAAGCATGGCTTTGCTCAGTCAGATTGCCAGCAGGGTCCTAGTGTGCACGTTCCCCTCGTCCCCCGCCTCCACCTTCTAAATGCCAATTGGCTCGGTGAGGATTCTGATCGCACCTACATTCCAGCAGACTAGTTGTGAATGACCAGAGAGACAGTGCCTGCAAAGCCCTTACAGAGACCGAACATGGTATGGACACAATTTGGGTTAATTATTATTGCTACCATTATTACTTATTTTCGTGTCATTGAAAGATGCAACTCAATTTTGACCCCAATTTAAGGAGAAGGGAATCCACATTTTTTTATCTTCGAATTTCATAGCTTTAGAACTAAGATGCTGAACATTGTCTTTGAAGAGTGTATATTTATGCTGCAAGGCAAGCTTATTCACGCATTTGCACGAAACATGAACAAATATTTATTTATATTTATTAACAAATGTTTATTGAGTGCTTACCAGGCCCTGGGGACGCAGCAGGAAATGACAGAGACATGACCTGCTCCACTGATGTTTATAGTCCAGGGACGGTTGCCTCATGGCTGTCGGTATCTCTTCTGAACGCTGCTTTCCTTTTCTGCTGATTCTATAATGACATGCTGAAGCAAATTTTTGGAAAACAAAACAAAATGCAACCAACCTACAATCTCCTCTTTCTCCCCCCGCCCCCCCGCCAAAAGGGGACCATCAGATAATATAATCCTGTCCACAGTTTATACACAGCCGTCATTTACATAGTTTTGCTTTTAGCTAGTTCAGGGTATTGACTAAAATATCCTTTGTTTGTTGGTAGTGAAAATAAAGAAGGTGCATACGTGTGTGTGTCTGCAACTGGAAAGGGGCAGCCACCTATGTAATTAGACCTGTGATATTACCGAGGAAAAAAATTCCCTTTAGAAAAAATAATGGATTAGAAGATTCATCTTAAAAGTGGATGATGGCTTGTTTGAAAGATCTGCAGATACATAGGAAGTTACATTAAAAGCCCCAAATGCCCAGTTTAGTTCCTGATGTTAAATTTCAAATAAACTCAATCCAGGTTCCAGAGGGACCATTTGGGAGAATTTTAAAAAAGCAATTTACCCAGCAATACCCCAGTGCTCTGGAAGGAGGAATTCCCTTCCGGAAAGGTTGACTTGGACCTAGCAGGGACATTTACCATAGGAATTGTTCCTCTCATTTAGATACATTTCACTTACTGAAATTTTAAATACCCACACACAGTTTTACATATATTTTACACAAAATCTAAAGTGATAGGTCTTCTAGGAGAGAAAAAAAGAATCGAGTGTCTCGCTGCAAAAATGATTTCTCTCAGTGATTACTGTCAACTCTTTTGAAATCTTTCTCCTTCTCTCTTTGAACAGATGACCCTAAAGTCATTATTGCTAATCTCACGGTAAGTATTGCATGTCATCAGGCCTCTGCCTTTGGAGTAGCTTCCACACACTCATCTCCTGTATTCAACTCCCCTGTAGGCTGAGAGGAACATTTTCCTCACTGCCCTGCCATCCTGTATATTTGTTTCCCTAAGAGCTTTCTGGCCCATGGACAGCTGCAGGCTCCCTAATGGTCTTGGTAACAAAACAAAATGAGAGTATTTGACCTTGCCATTAGGGCTGAAAAGTATTCATTCATGATTAAACAGATCCTTACTCTTTCTGAACCAGATCTGCCCACCACCCTGTTCCACAGTTTTCCCATCCGGGATAGAGACCTTAAAGGCACATGAGACTGTAATGACATGGTCCTGAACATGCCTTCTCCTCCCTTCCCACCCCACCTCCCCATTCCCTGATTTGAAGCATTTGGGAAAAGCCTTGGAGTTTGAGCTGCTCTTCATGATGGTCTCGCGAGTCAGGAATGTATCTTAAAAATTTCTAACTCCCCTCTGATAACCTTCTATGTCTTCTTCAACATTATCTATTCCCCTTTGAATCTATTTGTTTTCAGCTTTTATCATTTGATAGGGGTGACAAATGCCATTTATTCAGTAATTAGCCTTTCGTTTGACTTAAAACCTCCTTCCTCTTTCTAGAGAGAATGTCTTGGACTTTTCTAGAAGACACTCCATCTGAAGTTCAATATCCATTTCTATTTCAGTGTAAAAAACCAGATCAGCACTTTAAGCCTTACATGAAACAGCACCTTCCCAAACGTTTGCACTATGCCAACAACAGAAGAATTGAGGACATCCATTTACTGGTGGACCGAAGATGGCACGTTGCAAGGTAACTTGGGGATAGGCTGTCCCTGATTCTCATCTTCATAACCGCCCCTTTGGCAGCTGGAGTGCTTTAAGGTCCTTAGCCATTATAAAAAGAAATCTCAGTTGGAAATCTCGTCGTTTGCAAAGAGTTTGTGTGCTGGATAAACAATTAGCCCCGAGACAATACCTCTCTGTGTTCCTGGTCTCAGCATCTTGGTGGCTCTTTGTGGCCTCTCAGTGCATCTTTGTGTGTTTGTCTCTCTGTTTTGTTTTTCAAATTTACATTCTATTCTTATTACTTGAGTAAGTCAAACATATGCCTGGGACATTGCCTTACCACACTGGACAGGTTTGGCCTCCGTTGACGAAACTTAGCTTGTAGCGACATTTATAGAAGAGTTCAGAAAATGTTGTTAATCTTAAAACCTCTGTTACCTCTGTTACTCTGTTACTGAACAGAGGCGTGTTTTACATTGCCTTAAATATTTCAGATGTTTGCCTTGTTTGGAACTACAAAAGACTCTCCAATATGGAAGAGACTATTCCTTGCTCTTGAATCTGATGTAGGATGTGTCTGGAAGCTCTAACCAGTTCCAAAGAGTTAATTATCCAAAGCTTAATCACTTTCACACAGACCTGGGGGTAGCCCTTTCCTACTCACTCTTTTTTTGTTTTTTCTTTTGGCTGTGCTGGGTCTTCGTTGCTGCGCATGCGCTTTCACTAGTTGAGGTGAGCAGGGGCTACTCTTTGTTGCGGTGCGTGGGCTTCTCATTGCGGTTTCTTCTCTTGTTGTGGAGCACGGGCTCTAGGCGGGGTCTTTAGTAGTTGCAGCACACGGGCTCAATATTTGTGGCACAGGCTGTAGGGCATGTGGGCTTCAGTAGTTGTGGCTCACGGGCTCTAGAGCGCAGGCTCAGTAGTTGTGGCGCACGGGCTTAGTTGCTCCGCGGCATGTGGGATCTTCCCGGACCAGGGATCGAACCCGTGTCCCCTGAGCTGGCAGGCGGATTTTTAACCACTGTGCCACCAGGGAAGTCCCCCACTCACTCTTGCTCTGACTTTCTCCTTTAAAAAAGTGCTGAGACGCAGTCTTAATTAACTTAGCAATAATTGAACAACTACTAGATGTACTCTGGCTTGGTACTTGAATGAATTTACAAGGGAGAGAAGATAACAAGAAAATGTGTGTCCTCTAAGAGCTTGAATCAGCATGGAACATCTAGAGAGACACATGTGACAAATACACAAATATCCTATTGTAATTGTCAGGGTGTACATAAAGTGAAATATGTAGGATTGTGAAGAGATATGTATGTAAACTAGAAATTATTGAGATCATTTAGAACAGACATGGGGAGTCTTCAAGGAAAAGTTACAAAACTGTGACCAAAATGGCTTGCCTGAGTATGGGGTGGTTTGGAAGAATGAGCAAATTTGTACCGTTTGTAGGTTTCGATGAAGAAAACTTGGGAGTTGAGTAGGAGTTAAGTAAAAGATGAAGATAGTTGAGCAAATTAGTGTAGACCAAAGCCAGGCATTTTAATTAGCAGTAAAGTTTTTCAACTTATGTCTTGCACTGTTGAGTTATTATATGCACATATCTTATTATCCCAAGCTGAAAGTACTTTACCTAAGAGCAAAGACCCCGAAGTTTAATTTCTTTGTTTTCCCCCAAGCACTTTACTTCAGTGCAATGTACCTATAGGTACTTAAGAAATATTTGTCTTAATAAACATGAAAGTGTTTTGGAAAAGTGCTGCATGACTCTAAGCAAAAGGTATCTTCCTGTCTCAACAAGGGAGCTCAGATGCTTTTGATGTCTAGAGAGCAAGGTTTCCATTTTCTGTTTCTAAATAGAGGTACTGTCTAGGTGAGGCTTGGCTCTTCTTAGCTATGCCACTATTACATATGTTAAGCTTATGACTCAGTTATGTTCTCTAGTGGTATTACTAGGTAAATCTGTTGACAGGTAAATTTGTATGCAAACATTTTTATAGAATACAGGTCTCCATTCATTGATTAAAATCACATATTTTTAAAGTGCCGACTGTGTGCTTAGCATGGAGCATAGTGATGGGTGTGTAGAAATGAACCAGACAAACACGGCCCCAGAGTGGAGAGTCTTACAGTCCTGGAGCTAGTGAAGCACATAGGCAGACAGTTGAAGCTTTGTGGCAACCCTGCATCGAGAGTCTATAGGTGACATTTTTCTGACAGCACTATTTTTAAATTAAGGTATGTGCGTTGTTGTTTTAGACATAATGCTATTGCAACTTAATATAGTATAGTGTAAATATACCTTTTCTATGCACTGGGAAACCAAAAACTTCATGTGACTCAGTTTACTGCGATGTTCTCTTTATTGTGGTGGTCTGGAATCGAACGTGCAGTATCTACAAGGTGTGTCTGTACCTGTGACCAGGGCTTTGCTCAGTGCAAGCACGAGGCCTGAGGAGGGGACCAGGACTTCAGGTCCCAATTTGTCCTGGGCTGATTGTCAAAGCAAAAGCACTTGGGGCAAAAGAACAGCATCATGTTTTCGTCAGCGCAGGAATGATGCAATTACAATGAGAAGAATATATTTGTAAGATCCACTCCTTAGAGATATTTTTTGTGCACTGGTTTTTTTTTTTAATCAGAATGATTTCATGAGAAATCCTGACTGATTGTACAATTGTTTCACTCTAGGAAACCTTTGGATGTTTATAAGAAACCATCGGGAAAATGTTTTTTCCAGGGAGACCATGGATTTGATAACAAGGTCAACAGTATGCAGGTATGCTCCTGGAACTGTGAATCGAAGTGTGTTTTAGTGACTCCAAGAAGGGATGGGAATGGTGGTGTGAGTGAAGCTTGCAAAGCATTTATAAATCGAGGAAGGGTTGCTACTAGATATTAGCAATGCCTAATTGTTTTGTTTGTTTTCTTTTCTTTTGGAAGACTGTTTTCGTAGGTTATGGCCCAACATTTAAGTACAAGACTAAAGTGCCTCCGTTTGAAAACATTGAACTTTACAATGTTATGTGTGGTAAGTCATTTATTTCATCAAAACCAAGAAAACAATCTTGAGTTAACGTATGAACTTCTTTCAATGTCGGAGAAAGAAATGAGGTGTCTGTTTTCTGGGATCACCTCATCTTTTCACACACAAAAAATGTTGTAATTTGCCCATTGGTTCAAGAGACAGAATATCATCCCCTTCTAAGGCTTCTTTGTCTTCCTTCAACAGTTGACTAACGGGGAGTTTTCATAGTGTTGCTGTTGGCAGTCTCTGGCTGATCTAACATAGCATTACAGTTTGACACCAATGGTCAGAGGCTGGGTAAAGCAAGAGTTCGACACAGAGCTTTCTCCCACCTCCATCTCTCCCATTGCCGCCCAGTTAAAATCTCGCCAGCTTGTATCCTGGCCAGCTATTTATGTACGCCTAATTATTTTTCTTCCTTGAGTTTCTAGTTGCTGAATGAGGACAACTTTTCCTATTTAGTAAGGGAGTGCCAGTCTGGTGGTTAGAGGGGGAGTCTGAAAGTCGGGTCTCCTGGGTTCTTTTCCCATCTTGGCTGCTGGCTCGCCCCTGCCCCACCCCTCAGCTTAGGCAAGTCCCTGTATGCTCGCTTGGCAAGCATTTCACTTGCTGTGAAATCAGCCTGTTCATTTCACAGCGGCACTTTAGGGCACAAGGCCAAAACCTCCTCTTGTCCCCGTACTTCTGTGGAGTGCATGAGAGGGCAGACTAGAGGTTATTTATTGATTATAAGTCCCGCTTCAAAATTCGGGAAGAAAAGTCTCCTTAGACTTTTAGAGAAGCAGAAAGGCAATGATACTGAGGCTGATGGTCCTGGGTTGTAACTATCACAGACATAGGCAGTAGCTAAGTAAGGCCCTATTTCTTCACTCTGTCTTTTTGGAAATGTCTCTCTTTATAATCAAGCAATGAACATACTATTTCAGAAAGTTGTTGCCAAGACATGATCAGGCAAGAATGATTTTGGAAGTAAGAAGCGAGCCTACAGTCTAAATTTGGTTTTATGCTATTCTAATTTGTGTTCCAAGTTTTCAGGCCCTTGGAAGGTGAATGGCTTTGACTCTCCCTATACCTCATCAAAAATATTTACAAAGTACCTGGCTCCTTTCTTTCTTCTCGTCAGATCTCCTGGGACTGAAACCAGCTCCTAATAATGGGACTCATGGAAGTTTGAACCATCTCCTGCGTACTAACACTTTCAGACCAACCATGCCAGAGGAAGTTACCAGACCCAACTACCCAGGGATTATGTACCTTCAGTCTGATTTTGACCTGGGCTGTACCTGTGATGATAAGGTAGAGCCAAAGGTAGAAATAATTTTTCATGTTTATCATGGAGGAGCCTATTGGGTATAGGGCAGTGCTGTCCAATAGAACTTTCTGTGATGATATGAATGGTATATCTGTACTGTCCAGAATGGTAGTCACTGGTCAGATGTAGCTTTTGAACACTTGGAACTAAGTTTTTAATTTCGTTTAGTGACTTTAAATTTAAAGAGCCGTATGTGGCTCATGGCTCCCACATTGGACAGCCCAGGGATAGATAATGAAGAACAAAAAGTAAAATTCAGGGCTTCCCTGGTGGCGCAGTGGTTGAGAGTCCGCCTGCTGATGCAGGGGACACGGGTTCGTGCCCCGGTCCGGGAAGATCCCACATGCCGCGGAGTGGCTGGGCCTGTGAGCCATGGCCGCTGAGCCTGCGCGTCCAGAGCCTGTGCTCCGCAACGGGAGAGGCCAAAACACTGAGAGGCCCACGTACCGCAAAAAAAAAAAAAAAAAAAAGTAAAATTCATAATGCTATTCTGTGGAATCACAATTCCCAACCAAAATGATTTTTTTCTTTTTTTTTCAACCTGGATCACATGTGTATCAGTCATGGTTCCAATAAGAAACAGATGGCCCATGCAGAAGAGGTTTTTAAAGAAGGCTTAAAGAGATTGTTTCAATCACGTTTAATGAGAAGACTGTTTCAAAGGCTGGCAGGGTAGAGGGAAATCAGTGAGGGATGCTGAAGTACCCTGGGGCTAATAGGGTACCAATCCTAGGTCTCAACAATAAAGGGAGGGAGCAGTTACTGGCACATGGAGAAAGAGCTATATAGGAAGGAACGTCGGAATTTGGTAGATGGGTGCAGCTAACGCACTGCAACCTGGTAGAGGGGAAGCTGGGGGAGTAAATCCACCCCTCCCAATCCCCCGCTGGTACCTCTCATTGTTGGAGCCCTGCTAGAGGGCAAGCTTGCTCTCTGATGAGTCCCTAGAGATCAGTCTCCCAGGGCACAGAGCAGGGTAAGGAAGGGTGTGGCCGGGCAGGCGTTGGGGGTGCAGATAGGGACCACCCAGCACCTCGTGTTTGGACAGTTATTGAAACAAGCAAACTACACATGTTCAGTAATGATTTGCTTATTGAATTTTATATTGATCAAAGACCTTTTAGAGTTGCCCATCAGTGCTTCTGACAGCAAGATACAACCAGTGTTACCACTAACACTGGTTAGTGGTTGAGAGGGTTCCAACACAAATCAAAGCAATTTTATTTTTGCATGTGTGTTTTTTTTTTTGCGGTACGCAGGCCTCTCACTGCTGTGGCCTCTCCCGTTGCGGAGCACAGGCTCCGGACGCACAGGCTCAGCGACCATGGCTCACGGGCCCAGCCACTCCTTGGCACGTGGGACCTTCCCGGACCGGGGCACGAACCCGTGTCCCCTGCATCAGCAGGCGGACTCTCAACCACTGCGCCACCAGGGAAGCCCTGCCTGTGTGGTTTTATTACAGGCAAATGTGTGATCTTTCTATTAGACCTCATAAAAATGGAAAATAATTTTCCCACTGGTCTATCCCCCTCCCCTACCATTTGCTACTTTCTAGGATTCCTTGGGGCCTAGGAGCCACAGTGTGGGACGCCCACCATGGGAGGAAGTTTGCTCTTCTTCCCTACCTCCTTCCCTTTATTAATCCTTCCTACTTTAGCTCCTGATAAGAACTAACAGGGCTAATTAGTATAAAGTAGGTAATTCTAAGACCTCAGCTGGAGGAGTTGAGTTGCCAAAGTCAACAGGAAGTGGTCTTTGAAGTGAATTCTAGTTATATTTTTAGAGGCATCTATTAGCTGTATCTTGTTTTCTGAATTACCTTTCTTCTGCGAAGCAAGAAATATTTTGGTTATTTTACCTTAAGCCGTTTTAGTGGGGTTCTAGATCATCTTTATTTTGTCAATGGGTTTCTCCAAAAGACTATTTTCCTTTTCTTAAAAAATAAATACAGACATACTGAAAAGGTATAGAGATTAATAAAATGAATACTTCAATACACACATTGTGAGAAAGAAAACATTACAGATTGAATGGATACTCCATGTGACATCCCACACCCCAATCCCACGTCCTTTCTACCCCAAAGGTAACTAATATCCTGAATATAGTGTATATAATTGCCATGTAGGCCTCTATACTTTCACTCCATACATATGTATCTCTTAAATAATGTATTAACTAATTTTTAGTATATAGTTCCCTAAAATAACCTATGGGATAGCTTTGGATATCTTATATTTTTATGTAAATGCTGTTATACTATATGTATCCTGCATTTAGTTGTTCATCCTTGTATTTTTGAGATTTATGCATATTAATATGTGAAGTTTTAGCTCATTCATTTTTACCATTAATAATTAATATTTAATTATATAATTATACCATCACGATTCTATTCAGTTTCCTATTTGAGAACATTTGGTAATTTCCAATTGTTAGTTCTTCCAAACAATGCTGCAGTAGACATTACCGCAAATGTCTTTTTGTAGACGTATGCTAGAGTGTCTCTAGAATATATAGTGGGAGATGGAGTTGCTGAGCCGTGACTTTTCAGAACTGCTGAGTCATTATGTTTCAGCTTTAGAAAAAGCAATTTCATAACTTGGTTTGGGAATCACTTTAGTGTACCTAGAGATTAATCCGAAATATTGAGGCAATATTCGAATTAATTTACATATATGCGCCCTAATCGTCGTTGTCGACATGGGAGGTTGGTACCATGATTATCCACACTTTTAAGGAAAGGAAACAAAATCACGGAGAAATTAAATAACATATTCGTGACCATAGATCACTAGGAAATGGAGCCTAAAATTTCATTTTGAGATAAAGTAGTAAATACTCTGCAGAGTTTATGGTATTGATGAAGTTTAGGGTCCTGTTTTGAATTTAGCTGGGTACTAAATAGAGAGAAGGGTGCTGGAAAGAAAAAACGTTTCTGATTTGCTTTCTCTTCTCTTTTCTTTTCTTTTTTTTTTGGTTTTCACACATGAAGAACAAATTGGATGAACTCAACAAACGCCTTCATATAAAAGGGTCTACAGAAGGTAAGGAGTTGATGGAAAAAACAACCAGATAATTTTGTTTTCTAGCTTCCAAAAATTGGAGAGACTTCTTATTTACTTCATAGTGTAAGCACAATATTTTTTAAAATTCGAATTTGGATTGCAAAGTGATTTTTATACCATCTGGCAAAAGGTATTAGTTTATTCTATGTACACAGGTTGCCAGCTGTGTAATAAGTCAGAAAAGTTCCATTACCTTTTTTTTTCCTCAATAGCTTTTAAGCCCTCTGAAAAGCAGAGGGATTAAATATACCATTGTGCATCTGATGGGTCATAAGTTAAGGTGCTTATGGGGACTTCAGTGAAGGGAATGGAAGTCACAATTATAAATGGTAACAGCTGGTACCTCTACTGAAGCTTACCAACCTGCAGAGTCAGTGTGTATGTTATGGGAAGGGATGTACAGAAGGAACCAAATCAGAAATCTCTCTTCAAAGAAGGATTATCTTGAGCCCTAACTCATTCTCCTCTTATTTTACGTACAATAATAACCCTCCTGTATTAGTCAACTTTTGCAAGCTTGTGATGAAAAAAGAGAATCTCAGTGGGCTGTGCATTTCTTGTTCATATTTCAGGATGCTGACTATAGGCCAAGTGTGGCTCTGCCCCATGTGTACTTTTTATTCTGGAATCTAGGCTGAAGGAGCAGCCCCTAGCTGGGACATGCCCTTCTCGTGGCAGAGGGAAAAGAGGAATGGCAGAACCAGGCAATGGGTCTCAACACTTCTGCTTTGATGAGGCATCTGTCACTTCCATTCCCAGTTCATTGGTGAAAGTAGGGCACATGAAACCAGTGGAGTAGGGAAGTATATTCTTTCCACAAGGACACTGTCCTACAAGTCACTTGGCAATGGGTAGGAGTATATAATCCTTTACAAAAGAGCAGTAAATAATTAGGAACAATAATGCAATCTACCACATAAGCTCTTCCTTCTGGTTTTGAAATCCCAGGAAAATTAGAAGAGATTAGAAGAAGACGGAAAGGCTCCTACACAGGTTACTACAGCAGGTGGGATAGCATCTTGTAACAGCAAGGGAATGACCAAAAGTGTATTAAAAAGAAGACAGAGATCAAGCACAGCAGCCCAAGTCATGCAGTAAAGATGCACGTAGTCAAGTTCTCGTGAGAGCGTTACATGAGTTATTAGCTTACATATGGTTCTATTTATCGTACGTGCCATTTCCAATCTGATTAAGTAAAGGTTGAGGAAACCAGTGGAATATTTTATTCACTTGACTTATTTCCCCTCTTTATAAAGATCTTCATGTTTTTTCTTCTTCTCTTTCTACATCACCACCCTCCCGGTTCTCTCTTTGATGATAGAACACACAGACTCTTTGGCATGTAATTGGATGAACACGGCTTTTGAGATAAGACTTAGTTGATGGAAGGTACACAAATCCTTCACAAATCTAGAAGTGATTTGAAGTGTTTGACATCAAACCTCTAGTGGACTGCGGTGTCATTAGAATTGGAAAAATTACAATGCTGCCAGGATCGAGGAGTATGGAGTCTCATGACTTGAGTTTTTTAAATATTCACTCACCAAGGCAGAGAAATATTACTGAGATGTTTCTCTTCTAAAAGTCACTAATGAAATAGTTAATTATGATAACTTTGAATGGACTCTAATGTTTTCGCTGATTCAAGCTCTGACTATTCATGGTCCTAAAACATTTCCATCTGGGAAAAAAATCTTTCATTTAGTTTTTTCGTGACAGTGTGCTCATAGGACAAAACCAGTCCCACAAGTCAGCATAGACAGTGGCCTCAAACTTCTGAGCTTGAAAATAAGAGGCATCTTCTAGGTGAATCACTGACTCTCAGGGCTGGAAACAGCCATAGTTATTGACCTCACCGCACCATTGCTCTGCTCAGAGGTGAATATGTGTCTTATCTCTAGATGATTTTATGTCACCGAGGCTTAAAGTTTATATACTTTCATGGAAATGGGCCCTCACGTGTTTTTGTTGAGCGCCTACCCTGGGCTGGGAGCTGATTTCTCTGAGACGTCTGGTTCTGTCAGCTGTGTCACCAATAGTTTCCAGCATGTAACTTCACAATGGTGACATAAAATGTTAGGGGAGGATCATGGTAGCACACCTTCTTGGTCTGCTCATGGCCTAATGGGATAGTCTCTAATGATACAAGGGAGACTTTATTTATTTTTATTATAATTAACAGTTTAATATTCAATAGACTTTTGGTAAGGTTGTTTAAGTTTATACAGCATTGTTTTGTTAGTGTGTATAATAATGTCTATTTGCAATTGCCAATAGCTGGAGTGATACAAGATAGACTTTAAAACTATTACATGAAATTCAAATAATTATATATCATTGCCTTATTATGTGCAAAGCATTTGCTCATTTAGATTCTAGGATACATGTAAGCCTCGGTGTTCTCTCTCCTGTCTCTTTCTCTCTGTCTCTGTCTCTTGGTGTCTGTCTCCTTAAGGGTCTTGTCTCAGTCATTTCTTCAGCTGCAAAGTGACATTTTCTTAGTCTGAGTTCTTTCAGGCCTTTATGGTGAGTCCTGGGTCATAAGTCTAGTCCCCCACTGGAAATAGTCAACGTCTGCTCTGCTGGAGTAGAACCTCGTGAATTCGAGGTGCTGTATGTGTTGTGCTCAGAGCGATCACTTCCCCTTTCTGGCTATCTCTAATATATATTGAGGCTTTTAAACCATTTTGTAGACCTGAAGTTCTATACAAATGTAAAGTTGTATTATTTTCCTGCCGAGTTTTTAAAAAAAATACACGTATAGGTAGCTGATTTTTTCAGAATAAACCACAGGCCATGCCCATTCCATTTGTAACATTCATATGTAACTGTTTTAATGTCATATGACATAAAACCACTCATACATCTGTACCAAACACACATGTAAAAGCTATGCATTCCAACAGTGAAACAACCCAGGGTAAATGTGAGGTAACAAAACAGTGGTATATTAAATTAATCTTAGGCTATATTTTATTACGAATACTAAACTTACAGAATCAAGTCCTGTACTAAAATGAAGAGGAAGAACAGATATGAGCTTCAAAAACTGGGATCTAAACTTCTTGCTAAAGCTTTACTATTTCTACATTTGTAGTGAATTCCGGATCTTAATTGCATGGCTGCTTTTCTGGATCACATGTATGTAATGTCTTGGCAAACTTATTGAATTTTCATTTTGTAATCCATGAATCAATGGATAAATGAATGAAATTGAAATATTTAAATTTCTCACAGCAAGCAATTCTGGCACTTGAGCCAGGTATAATTTTTACTGTAAGAATAATCGCACTATTTATTTTCACTTTAGTCTTTTCTCTACTAGCATTGCTAAACCATGTTTTGTATTTTCTTAGTCAGGTTGACATTCACTATCACCTTTGTGAGACAGGGAATTAAACATCCTCTTAACACCTATGTGTTTGGCTCCTTATCACACGCCATGAGAAATTAGTTTGGTTAGAAAAATGACTTCAACACTAGTAATTCTTGTTAACTTTAAAGCAGTCCTGAATAGCTAGAGAGGGAATATTAGGCAAGTTATACATAGAAAGCCAGTTCTTGAAAGTCATAAAGAACAGTATTTTTTTAAAAAATAAAACAATCAGGGCTTCCCTGGTGGCTCAGTGGTTGACAGTCCACCTGCCGATGCAGGGGACACGGGTTCGTGCCCCGGTCCAGGAAGATCAGACATGCCGCGGAGCGGCTGGGCCCGTGAGCCATGGCCGCTGAGCCTACGTGTCCGGAGCCTGTGCTCCGCAACGGGAGAGGCCACAACAGTGAGAGGCCCATGTACTGCAAAATAAAATAAAACATTTATTTATCCACATAGATATTTGGCATTGTTGGAGGTAGAGATACAATGGTAAACAAAATAGATAAAATCCGTGTCCTCATTAAGTTATTATTTTATTGTGAGATTTAGCCAGTTGATGAATTACAGCATAGTGGTTTTTTTTTTTTTTTTTGGTACGCAGGCCTCTCACTGTTGTGGTCTCTGTGCGGAGCACAGGCTCCGGACGCGCAGGCTCAGCAGCCATGGCTCACGGGCCCAGCCGCTCCGCGGCATGTGGGATCTTCCTGGACCGGGGCACGAACCCGTGTCCCCTGCATCGGCAGACGGACTCTCAACCACTGTGCCACAAGGAAAGCCCCGAGAGTGCTGTTTCTTGACAGCATTGCCACCTGAAAGTTATGGTTTCTAAAAATCTTAGTCTTTATTTTTAAAATTAAGTATGCATGTTAGTATGCTTGTTGCAGTGATTCATCAATTCAGTAAATATTTCTTGTCTGATAGTGATAACACTCACAGATCTGCCCAAGTCACCCAGTCTTCTGGTATTATCTTTGATTGTTCCTTAGGGTTTCCCTTGGATTCTCTTAAAGTCACTTACTTAGTAGCTGTGGTCCTAGAATGCAGAAACTCCTTGGAAAAATCCTCATTACACAAAATAAAATCAAACTTTACAGCCTGACTTTTAAGATCCTCTTTACCTTTTGTTTATAGCCTCCAAATGAGAGCTTGTAGATATACTGTTTTCAAGTTTGGTTTAAGGGTAGCCTTTAAAACAAAACCAACATCTTTTTCTTTTGGGTAGAAGAAAACCCATTTTAGATTTTGTACAGAAATGCATAACCTTCAGTTTTGTTCTGAAGGACCTCTTGAGGGTAAATAAGGTGAATAATCACCTTCCCCTAGGATTATTGTAGTATACTTTTTTTTTTTTTTTTTGCGGTACGCGGGCCTCTCACTGTTGTGGCCTCTCCCCTTGCGGAGCACAGGCTCCAGACGCGCAAGCTCAGTGGCCATGGCTCATGGGCCCAGCCGCTCCGCGGCATGTGGGATCTTCCCGGACTGGGGCACGAACCCGCGTCCCCTGCATCGGCAGGCGGACTCTCAACCACTGTGCCACCAGGGAAGCCCCAGCGTAGTGTTTTAAGGGTTGAGGTAAGAAAGAACAGGACCCTACCAGAGGCATCAAATCTAATCCCAGAGGAGGTTGACATGGCAGTAAATGCTAGTAGACACTTCTAAGGCAAAGGAGGAGAAAGGACGTAGGAAAAGGAAAGACCTTGGGTAGAGACTTTGTGGTAAAATGTAAGAGCATAATATTGTGGGAGTAGATGTTTAAAATAAAAACAAAAAAGAGGAGAGATTTTCATGTGGCTCTCAAGTCAGCCAGCTAATCTGTGGGAATATGAATCAGGAAGCTGAAGAGGGAAAAGAAACACACACTCAAGTCTGGATGACCAAGTTTTGGAAGACAAAAAGAATGAGCGCTGGGGAAGTCCACACCACTTAAAAAGATTTGCCTCACAGTATTTTGCCGACGTGGTATCTGGAGGAGAACCGTGGCATGTACCAAAAATGCCAGCCACTATTGTAAACAGGGAACTGGAGTGTGGAATGGAGGCTCTGTCTGGAATTTCACGGAGTAGGAACCCAGCCTGGGAAGACACAAGCTATCCTAGATCCATATCAAGAAATCACGAGGAACATATTTCAAAAGCAGAAGATTGCAGGCTCATCTCCAGGGTGGCTGGTCTCTAGATGAAGCACTTATGTGTCCAAAGAGTGAGCTTCAAGTACACTCTTGTGGCTCAACAAGGGACTTTTTGCTAAACAGAAATGCAATGGGTGACTTGTCTAAGATGTCATAGGGAGTAGCAGGCTGTGACCAAGAACCTGTGATTGTTTGATACCCTGATAAACTGAAAAAGGGAAATCTAAATTTTGTTTCTGGACCTTGAAGTGTTTCTTACTGCAAAGATGATTTCACCTCTTTCTTAGATGAAGCTATTATGCAATAGGAAGACCCAAGTAGATTCTTTGGGTCAGTTGGGGAACTTGGTTGGATATTAGGAGACTGCCAAAGCCACTACATTTTTTTTTCTTCATGTCATACATGCTCAGTTAACAATTGAGAAAAAGTTAGTCAGATGATGATATATTTGGGCTCCAACTGTGTGCCAAAAACTGCAGTTGTGCATATCTTGGGAGCTATGACACCCACATTTCCAAAGAAAATTGAGTTTCTACATGCAGAGCAGAAGCATGAGTAGAGATGGAGAAGCTTAACTGGAGAAATCTTTCAGGAGAAAGTGACTCTTAAGATGTCTCTTCCCCTCTTGTCCTTTTCTCCCTCTCCTCCCCATGTCTCTTTCATGGGAGCTGAGCTATGTGACCATATTATTTGTCATCCCCTTTTGAAGGTGAGAAGGACAATTATGCCAGGGCAACAGGCATAAATGGGATGTGGGGTCACTCTGGCTTAGCTTCATAAGTTCTGTAAGGTCCGTACTGATGCCACCTCATCCCCATCTGCGGCATGCCTCATGCTCTGTTTTCCTGTTCCACTATGTAGATATCTCTGATATAGTGAGCAGCATATTGCATTTTAGTTATTTATGCCGTGTTTGTCTCTCTAATTGAACTGTGAGCTTCTTGAGGGTAAAAGCTCTATCTTTTTTTTTTTTTTTTTTTTTTTTGCGGTATGCGGGCCTCTCACTGTTGTGGCGTCTCCCATTGCGGAGCACAGGCTCCGGACGTGCAGGCTCAGTGGCCATGCCTCATGGTCCCAGCAGCTCTGCGGCATGTGGGATCTTCCCAGACCGGGGCATGAACCCATGTCCCCTGCATCGGCAGATGGTCTCTCAACCCATGCGCCACCTGGGAAGCCCAAAAGCTCTATCTTAATTGTCTTTACCAAGTATCTCTATTCCATAGCCCAAGGCCTGACACAAAGAAGGTACTCAGTATATGTTTGATGAGGGGGGAATACATTAATGAAAAATTTGGAGGGAGATAAGTGACAGGACTGGTGGAGAAGTTATTCCCAGTAGAGAGAAAAGGAGTCATATATATAATAGCATAGAGTTGTTGACAATGATTATGAGCAGTATTACAAATCAATCAGCCTTCATGGAATGGAGTGCTGTGTTGAGGAATGGTGAGAAATAAGGAGGAACCAGAGTTGGTGGAGTCTATAGATTGTCTAAGAGTGTTGATTGATGGCTGCTCTAAAGAGGGGTGTTGCATAGAGGACTATGGCTGCTGTTTTGTTGTCCTCTTAATGGGATAGATTGGATAATATGCCAGGTTTGCATCTGAGCTTGGAGGAATGTGTTGGGTAAGCATTAAAACTTGAATGATAAAAAGAGAATAGCTTCTCAAAGAATCTTGATACTTCTGCTTCCAGCTGAAACCAGGAAATTCAGAGGCAGCAAAAATGAAATCAAGGAAAACGTTAATGGAAATTTTGAAGCTAGAAAAGGTTTGGTTTGAGTTTTGAAGGAAAGTCTGACCTGGTAAACTGCTCCCAAGTACTACTGTTATGATTTGCTGGCTTTTCATTATATTTCATTTATACGATATTAGCATATTATGTTCTAATTCTTAGGGGTGGGTCCCCAAATTTGGTAGCTTTACCAAGACTTCTACATTTACTGCAATGTTGACAAAGCCCAACTACCCAGAACAGGCTTGTGCTGTGAACTGTGGGCTGTTTTGCCTCAAATCAGCAGTTCTACTTGGGAGGGTCTTGCAAAGTAATCTACAAAGGGTTTTCTCTGTTACTTGTGTAGAATGGTAATACTTTAATTAAAGCAACATGTATACATAATTTAGTAAGTGCCAGAACTGACTTTTTTCTAATAGAAATCATAGTAAAACAATTTTTTTTTTGGATTATCACTTAGGGGATTGTGAATTGCCAAAGCCTCAGTCTCTCAATATTTTGGTCTGCAGGACCCCAATTTCTATGAATCTATGGCAGTTCTGACTTTAGCCTGTCTAAAATGGGCAGATCAAGCTTGAGGCATTTATTGTGGGCGTAGAATGAAGGTTTGCACATTAATCTCCCATGTCTTCTTCCTAGAAGAATAAAGCTTCAAACCTTTATTTTTTCCTAAGAGGAGAGCTTCCTCTTAGGGGTCTGAATCTACATTCTGGGGTCTTAACTGAGTTCTTTGGTAACCGATGACCTCCCTTTTGTATTTAAAGGATCCCCTTGAATGCCACTTATTTTATCTATACATGTTCCTTTAAGTTCTTACCTAAAGAGTTTTCCTCCATGTCACAAAGCTACTTACTTTAAATGCTCATTAGTACTCACTTTTTATGCTGAAATAATGCATATTTGAGTTGCAGTTTACAAATAATGATCAAAGAGTACCTTCCTCTTAATTAAATCTTTGGTTAATTTGATGAGCCTTTCCAGGGTCAAGTGAATTAATTCTATAAAAATCTAATTGTCTTGACTTCCCATTCAGCTGAATCATTTCAAAATTTAATAAATAATTGTCTTTCCCATACAGATTAAAATTCTTTATAACTGAAAAAAACCATTCAAATAAATATGGTATTTACATTACAGTTTTGATAACTGTAAGCCTTGACCCACGCTTAGGTGATCAAATAAACCACAGAAGTGTTAGGAAAACTAACCTGATTAAATTAAGAAGAAGGAGCTACATTATTAATAAGTAAGCAAGCAAATCGTGGACAATTTGTCTCTTTCAATATTTCTTTAACATTTGATGTACAGTTTAATATGCGTTTAAGACAGTTTATTTTTTTCTTTCCTAGAGAGACACCTCCTCTATGGACGGCCTGCAGTGCTTTATCGGACTAGATATGATATCTTGTATCACACTGACTTTGAAAGCAGTTATAGTGAAATATTCCTAATGCCACTCTGGACATCGTACACTGTTTCCAAACAGGTCATTGAGAAAACTGGGTTTCATGTTCTTCATGTCATTACGCTCCTTGCCTTAAGATAATGATTGTTTGCTGAACAGAATTGTCTTAGACAAGATTTTAAGTTTTCCTGATGAAAGAAATCCTATATTGGATCTGTTGTAAAATATTTTGAATTAGACTTTCTGCAGTGTTCTAAAAACTTCATGGTAATAGGTGAAATAGCATAGCATACTAATTCTTTTAGTTTTTTTTTACTCTGCTCGACATGATCCACTAGTTACAGAAGCCACCAATATCTGGCCATTTGTTTTAATAGACTTTATTTTTTAGAGCAGTTTTAGGTTCAGAGCAAAACTGAATGGGAGGGACAGAAATTTCCCATATACCCACGGCTCCACACATGTATAGCCTGCCCCACCATCAACATCCTGTTCTTTTTTAATGAAGGTTTTTATGTCGGGGTTTCAGTTTTGGTAAAGATGAGGTAAGAAAGTTTATATCAGGAATTAGAAAAATTCATTGGGCAGTTGAACTACGCTTTTAAACTCTGAATACAAATGACTATTTCCACTGCCCCAAACACAGCTTCTTATTCATTTGTACTCAGGCACATACAATACATATATAGTCTTTTTTTTTAAAATAGGAGATATGTCTATATTATTTCTCAGAATATTATTTTTTAAGCTGTCTTATGTGGAATCTCATTTGTTATATCAACAGTGAGATTTCTGCCTTGCGTATTATTGTTTCACCTAAGACTGATCAGAGAGTCCTGCTACTAAAGACATAAGAGTTAAAAAGTTACTAGCTTAGTACATTTAAAACTGAGGTCCTTAGAAAAAAAAAAAAAAGAGTCAATATCAGAATATGAGCTATAGTAAAAGCTAATGGGGCTTTGATTCTGGCTGTCTGGAACCAAACGATCTGGCTTCAGTATTTCCCTGTTGGTTTGGTGTTATCTCTGCCATGGCATTGCTGACTACCTGTGACTACCATACAGGCTGAGGTCTCTGGCATCCCTGAACACCTGACCAATTGCGTCCGGCCTGATGTCCGTGTTTCTCCGAGTTTCAGTCAGAGCTGTTTGGCCTACAAAAATGATAAACAGATGTCCTATGGATTCCTCTTTCCTCCTTGTAAGTTACAGATAGCAGGATCTGACCATTCTAGAGGGATGTTATTTTGTGGAGTCTGGCGTGTGCAACTTGGTATTTAGGATTTCAGTGGTTTTTAGGTTTTCTAAAAAACCTAAAAACCAGAGGGGCGCTCAAGAGATTGAGGAGATGAACTTCTCTGGGAGCCTTCCAAAAGCAGCCGCCAGAAAAGAGACCAGCTTTCACAAATCCTATTCCCGGGGAATTCTAAAATGCAAGGGAATATTCTGTGTGTCACCTGACATCACTAAATGAGCATCTGAAAGTGAAATAGGAAATTATTGACATAAATCTTTTACATAATACTATAGAGGTGATCTCTTAAGAATACATGAAGCCCTTTAATTCTCTCTCATTACCTTGATGACATTTTTTTAAAAGTCCAAATTATGCCAGTGAAATCAAAGAATTCTTTTATAAAATACTTAGTAGACCCAAGACTAAGTAGGAAGAAAAAGAATCATAAAAATTTGTTTAAGGAGAACTATTGAGAAAAGAGATTGAAGAAAAGAGATTGAGTGGGAAGGGAAGTAGGAAATGGTATATAAAGAATGGGATAAGTAGGAATAAAAGAGTAGATACATGCATTTCATGCTGTTTGGACCATTTTAGAAGATTCCTTTTTTTATTGATGTCGATTTTATTATGTAATGGGCACTATTTGTTTTCCCAATGTTTAGATCTGAGCTCTTTGCCAGAAACTAAATATGATGCATTCCTTGTAACCAATATGGTTCCAATGTATCCTGCTTTCAAACGTAAGTCTAATATTTACCTAGTAGACTATTATTTGTGGAAAGAAATGTTTCTAAATTTACCACTTACCTTTCCTACCTCTCTATTCATTTTAATAATAATAATACCTTTCATGTGTTTAGCCTTTATAATTTTTGAAGAACTTTAATGTAAATTCTCTACTGCTAAGCCAAAATATGAATCTGTGAGGGAGCTTGGCAGGTTTTTTTTATCCCTTGTTTATAATTAAGAAATTGAAGTCACAAGAAGTGACCCATGAATGGCAGAAGCTGAGCTAAACCAAGTTTGTGCTTTCCTTCTAATCCGGTGTTCTCTCTATTTCAATGCTCAGTGGTTTAAAAGAGTCTTCTCTGTATTTTGGAGGCTACCTGACATTTAACAGCATCTGTATTTATTTATAGAATGTTACAGTAAAAGCCACTAACACCTTTTTCCTTTAGTGGGATGGCGATGTATTCTGAATATTAACCCCGAAACCCAGCAAGATCTTAAAGGGTCTTCTGAATCATCAGAGAATTAAGTTCAGTAGGTTTTAGGGCTGTGCAAATTATATACACTCATAATTTCTTTGTATATGACATAAATATTTGTGGATGGTAGTGATGAAATGAATGGTATAGGCACAGTGAGCCCCAGCCCCAAAACTGAGTTCTGGTCTCTGGAGTGTGAACACTGGCTATGTGATCATAGAAATGCCATCTAGCCTGTCATTTATAAAATTATGAGATTTGATTGCATGACTTCTATGGCTTCTATGGATTTGTAACTTAACTGTCCGATGACAAAAACAATCCATTTTCTATGTCTGCTAACAAAGAATTCATTCATTTGCCTATCCATCCATATTCCCTCCATCCATGCATCCCTCCATCCATCCAACCATCCATGTATTCAAAGAGAGAAAGCATTATAGAGTAGCTTTGCCCTCCCTTTGGTTTATTTACAGTGAGCAGACATATATGCTTATAGGAAAGGTAGGAAAAGGGAACACTTCTACATAACTCCACTTTCTAAAGGAGTATTGGGCTGTGTTACATGACTCTCAGGGCTGAAATAAAGTCTCAAAATAGGACACGAGATGGTGGAATGTCATCTACAGAGCCGAGCCTCCTCAACTTGACGTTGGTGAAATGGCCAACACGGTTTAGAGAAAAAAAAAATGTTTATTTGATGTCCTAAGTTAGTAAATAAAGGCTTATTCAAAGGTAGAATCTCTTGCCTATGAGTGAAAAATTAAAGTATGCTTTTAAAAGGTTTCCTCGTTTGTTCTCAGCCCCAGCTGAGAAATGTTTAACAAACCCCCGTAGATCCATTTGTCCTAATATTACATGGAATGCAGCTTCATTGAATTTCCACAAATCAGGGTTTCCTGGATTTCTTTATCCTTTACTGATGCCTTTTGACCAAGCAGCAATAAAGGAAGCACACGGTACCACCCTGAGGCTGGTGTGGCCAAAGGCCTTTCACAGAGGGCCTGCTGTCCTCCTTCACTAGGGAAATGGTTTTCTCGCATGCCACATTTCTGCGGGTTTGGCCTTTTGACTGTTCTCATTGTTATTTCTTTCCCTCTATGGCTCTCCAATTTTTACGCTTAAGTTAACATTTGAACTTCTTCCCCACTGTCCTCATTTCTTTATTGCAAATAATTATCCATGGTATTTTGGCTCTGGTGGGCTGCTCTGTCTTTCTCATTTAGAATAGAGGATCAGCAGTTGAAGCACTATGGGAAAAATGCCCAAGCATTTTCTAATAAGGGGAGGTAAAAAATGATAACAGCCTGAACCTCAAAACCCCAATGTAGAATAGAGCATGGTAAGTTAAATCTAACATGTTAGAGCCAACTTCTTTGGTTTGCCTTTCCTGTCGTCTTCTGTTATTCCCTTCTTTTGCCTTTTCCCTTTTCCATTCTGCCCCTCTCCTTCCCCTGTGATTGACTATCGTGTAAATTGGAGCTAGCGAGGCCAAGGAAATCCTCTCTAGAGGATGACCATGAAAGTGAGAAAGGAATAGCGGAGGAGAAACTAGGCATGCCTAGTCAGGGGACGTGTTTTCCAGATGAAGGGAAAAGCATATGCAAAATCTTACTCTGAAACAAGTTTAGTGAGTAGGGAGACAGGAAGAAAGGCATGTACCTGAGGGGGAAAGGAATAGGAGGAAAAGTCATGGAGGGAGGCAAGGGCCATGGTGGAAAGTTGGGATTTTATTTTAATTACAGTGAGAAATCATCTGGAGTGTTAGAGGTGGGTGTTGCAGAAATGTGATACAATCACATTTATAGTGTAGAAGGATCCATCTGGCTACTCCAAAGAGAATGGGCTACGGGGAAGGAAGAGTTTCTCCCAAGGTGCCAAGTAGTCTTTTGTGGTAGTTCATTGCAAAGAGGATAGTGACTTAGACCAGGGTGGATGCAGTGAAAATTGTGAGGAGTGGTCAGATTTGGAAGACTGGGATGTATTTTAGAGGTAGCACTAACAGGACTTGTTCACATGCATATGAAGTAAGGAGAGAAGTCAGGGATGAATCCTAAGATTTTGACCTGAACATCGGGGTGAGTGCGAGTGCCACTGGCTGTGATGGAGAAGCCAAGAGTTGGATCAGGAGTGGATGAAAACTCAAGAATTCTGTTTGGATAATTTTTTGTTAGATATGATTATTAGGTTTTCAAATGCACCCTGAGAGGGCTGGTTGGATAACATGTCTGGAGTTGCCTGGAAAGGTTAGGGCTAGAGACATAAACTTGAGAATTAGCCCATCTACGACAAGTGAAAGAAGAGAAAGTAGATTAAAGCCTTTTTTCAATTTCCCACAAACACCATACTTCCCCTGTTGCACATACTATTCTCTCTGCCTGGAATGTTGTCTCCACCTCTTTGCCTCAGAAACACCCACTTGTCCTTCAGATCTCAGCCTAGTAACCACTTCACCCGTAAATCCTTCCCTGACTGGTTGGGCTACGTTAAACTCCTCTACCGTTGTCTCTGTATCTTTCTCTTGGCCGGTTCATAAATGACACACCCACAGCTAATGCTTTAGGATGGATTGCTCTTAAGAATCACAACAGATCTACTGTCTCTTGGCTTGTGACATTTGGCTTGTTTAATGCATCCAAGAGAGAATTTGGCCAAAGCAAGGAGTTTTGTTTACGGAGAACTGATTTTGTTTTTGTACAGGAGTCTGGAATTATTTCCAAAGGGTTCTGGTGAAGAAATATGCTTCAGAAAGAAATGGAGTTAATGTGATAAGTGGACCAATTTTTGACTATGACTACGACGGCTTACATGACACACAAGACAAAATCAAACAGTAAGCTTTTCATTCCCACGCAACGTGCGCTTTTAAATTCCAAGATCTCACTCAAGAATATTTTTCAAATATTCACGTACTAGAGAAGAGCTGATACCTCTTAAACCTGTTGCTCTTCGAATCTCCTTGTGATTTCTTCAGTTCTTTTGGACCTGTGATTAAACGAGGCATTGGTGGTTGGAAAGGAATTAGGATTTGTGGTAAATAAATGCACTTTTCATTTTCATGAAAGAAAATGTATCAAAAGATTAGAAAATTTTTTAACTTTATTCTTCAACAACTCTTTAGTGGGAAGATGATAATTTTCACTTGTGTTCACTATTTGGGGGGGACTTCTGGAATTCCTTAGGTTTTCTGAGTCAGTACATTTCAATAGGAAATTACATATAAACTTTGGTCAAATCTCGTTTCTATCCCTCTCTGTGGTGCTATTAGGGATATAAAAGGATGAGGCATACTCTGTTCATAAGGAACTTACAGTCTGGTGGAGAAAGTAAGAAGATATAAATACAACAAATTCATAATAGGTCATCATTTAATTTTTTTTTAAGGAGCTGATATACCTAATATTTGAAGAACTCTTTTAAAAGATTTTTTAAATTTTATTTTTGGCTGCGTTGGATCTTCGTTGCTGCATGCAGGCTTTCTCTAGTTGTGGCAAGCGGGAGCTACTCTTCGTTTCAGTGTGAGAGCTTCTCATTGAGGTGCCTTCTCTTGTTGCGGAGCACGGCTCAAGGCACGCGGGCTTCAGTAGTTGTGGCACATGGGCTCAGTAGTTGTGGCTTGCGGGCTCTAGAGCGCAGGCTCAGTAGTTGTGGCACACGGGCTTAGTTGCTCTGCGGCACGTGGGATCTTCCCGGACCAGGACTCCAACCTGTGTCCCCTGCATTGGCAGGCAGATTCTCAACCACTGCACCACCAGGGAAGCCCTCTTCATTTAATTTTATAGATGCATGAAACAGTTAGAGAGCAACACAAAATATGAGAGGGTTTCATTGTGATTGACAGACAGACATAAAATGCTAATTTTTTTCATATATATAACTAATAAAATAGGTGTTATCCTACCCCCTTTCCAGTCATCCATAAGAGAAATTTTATCCTACTTGTACATTTATTTTATTGCTGATTATTGTCATAGTTTTCAGCCCAAATTATACTGTTAGTTCAATTATAATTTCAATATTTTGAAATGATTAAAATTAAGATAATAGAAAACCAGGTAAGGAATGATGAATTTCTATACTATGCTCTACTCAAAATAATTTTTTATACTTTTGTAACTCATCAGTAGCACTCAGTTCTTAGAATTTTCTTTAGTAAATGAATTCTCTGTACCAACTGTACCAAGTTCAGGATCTCACTGTGGCTGGAAGGGCTATCACTCTCCTAGCTCCTGTGTTTTCTGCCTCTGGTCCATTTTATACAAGTCTATGAAAGTTATTTTCCTGAAACATGGATCTCATAATGGTACTTCCTAGCACAGAAACCTTCAGTGGAGCATCACTGCCTGAAAAATAGTGCCCAAACTCTACAACTTTGGCACTCAGAGCCCCCCTTACTTTGGCTTTTATTGACTCTTCCAGACTTACATTTCTACTCCATTGACCTATGCATTATGTCCCGCCTCTGAGAATTGGTTCAAGCTGTTTTCTTTGTCTGGAGTATCTTTTTCAGTCTACCAGGTTGAGAGAAAGAGGGGATTCCAGGCATTGAAAACATGATATTCAAAGATATAGAAGTGGGTTAACACCTGTAAGTGAAAAATGACTCCATTGAGTGAAATTTAATTTTAGTGACTTGGGCAATATTCACTGGCCACCACTTAAAAAAGAAAGCTTCTACCTCGGCTGTAGTTTGATTTTGCCTTCCTGTTTCAGGTATGTGGAAGGCAGTTCTATTCCTGTTCCAACTCACTACTACAGCATCATCACCAGCTGCCTGGATTTCACCCAGCCCGCCGACAAGTGTGACGGCCCCCTCTCTGTCTCCTCATTCATCCTTCCTCACAGACCAGACAATGATGAAAGCTGCAATGTGAGTTCAAGAACAGTGTCCTTTAGGATTTGCTGACAGAATTCATCTTGGTGTCTTAATTTATATTCCCACCCTTGAACTAGGACATACTTATCATAAAACATTTGCACTACACAAATGGGTATACAAATTGGGTCTTTAGAAAGGACCCAAAGGAAACTTTGCATAACACTTGGGAACTTTGTGCTCTAATGGCTTTTTATTTTTCAGCATATGGGTGTGTGGGATGTGTGTGCATTTAATGTTGTTCTATTTCTGTGTTTGATTTTGGCAAACGATAGAAGTGCCCATGTTTTCCATTTTGCAAAAGACAGATATTTTGTAGAAAGTGAAAAGTAACACAATTTTGGTAATTACTGAAATGAGGGAAGAGTTCTCAGGAGCTCATTATATCATTCGCTCTACTTTTGTGGATGTTTGAACATTTCATTCATAAAAACTTTTTTAAAAAGACACACACACAGGAATATATACTTTACAAATCAGAGTTTCATTTGCTACTAGTTATGAGGGCAGACGTAACAGGTCACCCCATTCTTAAATAGCACAGATGACTCTTGATTCACTTATTCCAACGTGAAAGGAGGACGGCATGGCAAAAAAGCCTCAGGAAGGCAGACAGGATCCGTGCTCTGTGCTCCTGGCTCTGTACTAATGCTGCACTCAGGGACAAATCACATGATTACTCCAGGTTTCTTTAATGTGATGGAAATCCTGTGCTCCAAGGTTGATTTTAGAAGTAATAGTCTCTATGCTTTTGTTTATATAATAGAATAGGAGATAAAATCTACAGAGGAAGATTTTTAGTCAAAAAGCAGTACTCAAATTCCTTAATTAGGTAAGGTACCCTGGGAAAAATGATGGCGTGTTTAACATAGTCACACTCCAGGCAGCCTTCAAGGGGGAAAGTAAATGGAACAAGCACAGAAATTGCTTCACTAAAAGGCAAAGACCCTTAAGAATAGCTTCAACAGAGATTTTCAGCTTCATGGACAAGGCAGCTTTGGGGCTATGGCTTCAATTATAGGTGAAGATTGAGGCTATGACCATGCAAAACAAAATAACAGGTGCAGACAAAAAATTGAAATATGGCTGAAAAAGCTAATTAAGTTGGCTAGAATATTGGAAATGAGGATCATAGTGGGAGGTAAGGTTTTAAAGTTTGCATGGAATCAGATTTAAAGTAAAAGTAGTCGTGGTAGTAGTCATAGCGGCCATAGTAGTAGTAGTTATCATTGATTGAGTCCATGTTACTATCCAAGTACTGTGCAGGTCCTCTCATTCATTACTTCTGATCATCTCATTACCCTATTAGGCAGATATATATGAGCTCCTTCCCCTCCCCTTTCATTAACTCTTGAGAAACCTGTAGCTCATAAAGAAAAAGTATGTAACATGGTTACTGGTTAGTCAGTAGAAAAGTAGAACTTTAGATTCAAGGCCTCTGATTCCAAAAGCTCATCCTTTTTCAAATTTATCAGATTTCTGTAGTGGAAGCTTGGGGCCTGAAGACTTTTTTCTCATTGCACAGACATTAGATAACCACGGAAAATGTTTAGGCATAAGAGCAACATTGTAGACTCTGTTTGGGGGAGATAAATTTGAATTGGAGGGGATCAAGCATGGTCCTCAAAGGTCTTTGGCAAGATTCCCAGGATTGAGGGAACAGAATTTGAACTGGGTGTGGTCTTGGAAATTTCTAAAGGAAGGTGGAAGGCAGCAATACTGTACTGGAAGGATAAATAAGATCTTAGAAATAATTGGATGGGAGGTGGAGAAGCAAGGGAACTTCAAGTGAGAGAGGAGCTGTCCTCAATTTATTGGCTCGACTTTCTCAATTTCGATTGTTCACAGCCCTCGAGACTAGGTAATGGCATACCCGAGAGGGATGTAATGCCTCTGCATAGCATGATGTACTTTTTTGAACTTCAGTTTTACTAAAATCTTGTTGTGGGGAGGTAAAAGTTTTGCAGAAAAGGAAACACATATTTTATGGAGTTAAATTCAAAATTGCCATACATGTTTAAGATAAGGCAGAGACTACAAAGACATTTCAGACTTAAAGTAGGCCATTTAAGAGACACCTCAATTCCTGGGGGATGTATGTTCACATTTCCCTGTCATTAGGGGAATTTGGTGATGCAGGAGTTTGAAAAACGTTGTTCTGAACTCAGCTCAGAGGCAGTTCTTTATTCACCCCGATGTTACATCTGACAAATGAAATCCACTGAGGTCCTCATACATCTTCCTCTTTGCACAGAGCTTAGGGGTATTTCTTATAGAGTTCAAGGCCAGCGTGCCTCTTATTGAAGAACCCCCTGCCTACGTAGACACCTGTCCTTGCCTTAAAGTCCACCTTAAGACTTCTGGGACTTGAATTCACAAATTCACTTGGGAGGAAGTTAGGGAGAAAAGGCAGGTGAAGGATAAATGGCCATTAGCAAGAAAAACACTAAGCAAGTTCCTGGACTGTGCTTTCATTTGCATTAATGTGTAAAGTTATTTATTTTTTAAATTTATTTTTAAAGTTTTTCTTTTCCTCTCTTGGAGCACATGAACTTTTATTCGACTTTTATTAGTTTTGCATTTTGTACTAGAGTCTCCTGCAGCAAATCCTTCTGTGGATTGCTAGCAAGAGGCAGAAGGCCTTTTCTTCATGTGTAACATAGCCCAGTATTTTGACTAATTGGAGGCCGGATTTTAGCCTGTGAGAACCAGAGGAGAATGCCCCTCAAATGAAATTGGCAAATCACTTCCCAAGGAAAGAAATAGCCAAAGACAGATTTTCCCCCAAATTTGTATAATCCCGGCTAGCCATTATTTAAATTAGGAAAAACCTTTTCACTTCTTGTCCACACATTCAAATGACTTACATTTACAAAGGAAACATTAGACTTACTGACCATTGAAAACTCAAATAAATGAGTTGAATATGAAAATTCTCCCGAAAATATCACTTCATGCTTACTCTGCTTACTCTGAGGGGGTCCCGACCCATTTGGAGACCTTCTACTTCGTTAATTATGTGGTCACACGGAGGATTGGCCAGTACCGTTGTGGGTAGAGTTATATTTAGGCCTGTTCTTTCCTATGACTCGCAGAGATCTTGGTTAGCTTGGGTTAGGAGGGTGGGGCGTGGAGGGTTAAAATCCTTATTTCCCCCAACCTGCAAAGCAATTTCTTCCTGTTTCTTCATTTTGCCTGGGATGGCCAGGCATCAGTTTCCTGAACCAACACCCTCCTGTACATATTTAGCACTGGCATGAGCTGCTGGAGCTCCCTGTCCAGGTCCGTGTGGGTTGGAGCTTTCTGAGAAAACCCAGTGCAGGTTCCTGGGCTTTGGTGGGTCGTTCATTGAGACCACTTGCAGTCAAAGACTTGGGCGAGGGCATGCTTGAACGTTCTCAGCCCTGGGACGCACAGCTACCCTTCGACTTGTAGAAAGACTTTTGGAAGCCATTGCAATTCCGGAGGCATTTGGGAATAAAATTATTGGCAAAGACCCTCCTGCCCCATGTCTACTGACGAAGGTAGACATTTCTCCATATTCTCAAGGTTCTCAGATCTCGTTCCTTCTCTCAAGTTCCCTCAAAAGTGGAAGAAGATATTTTTTAAATGTAAAGGACTGCTTTATCTGCACTGCCTTTTTGTTTCTACTTAGATGTGAAATAAATTGTTTAGTGTGGGACATTTAAATGTCTTTCATCTCGAATTTGTGCCAGTGAGGCAATTTTTGGCAAGTAGTTAAGACAGAAAGAGATTTCCTTCCTTCCCATCATGGGAAAACACATGATGTTGTTTCCTTACTTTACTCATTTTTTTCCCCTTCTTCCTTCCTCTCCTTCCTCCTTCCCAGGGAGCTGAAGTAAGCATTATTATTCTTATGAACCAATGAAGAAACTGAGGCCTAGAGAGGTCAAGCAGCTTCAGCAAGGTCTCACAGCCAGGAAGTGGAAGAGTTGCGATTCCAACTCAGGCCTCTTGGGCCCCAAAGTGCCAGGTGTATCAACTGAGCTGCTTAGAGTTGAACTCATTCAAATATCAATTCACTGCCGTCTAATAGATGATGTCCTTCATCTAGCACATTCTTCTGAAGGACTAGAAATGCACACACATCATTTTGTGCATTGGGCACAAGCTCTTTCCTTTCCTTGGGAGGCAGAGGAGCATTCCTAATTCCTCGTGCTCTGTACTTCTCACTGCAATTTGACAGCAGGGGAAAGAAACACATCACTGAATTCTCCAGGGCCTTTGGTTTTCCCAATTTTGATTTATGTTAGGAGAACATGTTGCATCGAATGCCGTTTCGCACCACACATCTGGTTTATTTGGTACAGCTAATTGCTGCTGAAAATGTTCACAGCCAAGGGCCCGTATTTGTGGCCCATTGCCAGCAGCACTGTGGGAGAGAGGCGGGGAGGCCAGGAAGGAATAACATGCCTTGGCTTTGGGTGCAGGAGTATGTAGAGGTCATTTGTGGACGTGGAGCAAATGGACCGTGTAGAGAAACTCCTTTGGAAAATTCTGACTCTGTACTCCCTTTCTGTTGCAGAGCTCAGAGGATGAGTCCAAATGGGTAGAAGAGCTTATAAAGATGCACACGGCTCGGGTGCGGGACATTGAACATCTTACCAGTCTGGATTTCTTCCGCAAGACCAGCCGCAGCTATCCAGAAATTCTGACACTAAAGACATACCTGCATACATATGAGAGCGAGATTTAACCTTCTGATCCTCTGCGGTGCAGTCTTATCAACTGGTGTATATTTTTATATTATTTTTGTATTTATTAATTTGAAACCAGGACATTAAAAAAAGTTAGTATTTTAATCCTGTACCAAATCTGACATATTACGCCCGAATGACTCCACTGTTTTCCCCTAACGCTTGATATAGGTAGTCTTGTGTTCTGAGTAGAGCTTGTAATAATTACTGCAGCTTGCGTTTTTAGTGGAAGCTTCTAAATGGTGCTGCACATTTGATATTTGCATTGAGGAAATATCAATTTTTCAATGCACAGTTGCCACATTTAGTCCTGTACTGTATTGAAATACTGATTCTGTAAAGTTGCATTCACTTACTGTTAATTATGCCAGACATATTTAAGCCTTATAGACCAATCTTAAATATAATAAATCACACATTCAATTTTCTTCTGGTTTTATTTGGTCTTTATTTCACATAAATTAGAGTGTTTGCTTCTGGTATAGTTCATGCATAAAATGTACACATTTCTTGTATTGGGCCCTCTTCTTAGTTGGATGTAGTTCACATAGAAAAAAGGACATCCTTAATATTCAACTGTGGTGGCCCGGATGAGGTAGATGAGGTACATATCTATGGGAAATCAGAAGGGCAGAGGAAACAGAAGAACTCCTGAATATCCTCTCTCACCTATCTATTTTAAAAATATCTTGAAGTCTGGAGGAACAGGTTCTTCTGATCAAGTTGTTTCAAAGCTTTTATTAGGGCTTCCCTGGTGGCGCAGTGGTTGAGAGTCTGCCTGCCGATGCAGGGGACGCGGGTTCGTGCCCCAGTCCGGGAAGATCCCACATGCCGCAGAGCGGCTGGGCCCGTGAGCCATGGCCGCTGAGCCTGCGCGTCCGGAGTCTGTGCTCTGCAACGGGAGAGGCCACAACAGTGAGAGGCCCCGTACCACAAAAAAAAAAAAAGCTTTTATTAGACTCAACAGAGACTATATTAAGGCTATATTCTGTATAAGTATCAATGTAAGAACCAGGGAGGATATAAAGAGAAATAAGACACTGGGATGAAATATAGACATAAATGTGTAATTAACCAATCAAAGTTGAGAATAATAAATGCCAAGTGAAAAGTGTTAGTAATCATGCAATATGACAGAAGGGTCTGAATGATAGGTGGGGTGATTTTTGATTGACTCAGTTGTGGCTTTAAGTAATAATGAAGCACAAAGCAAGGAATCATTCAGAGATTTTCAGTCCTTCTGATTGTGTCAGGGAGAACGCTGCATCTTAGTATCGCCATGTCTCTAACAGTTAGTAACCTCCCATAAGAAAAAAAAAGAACAGCACTTCTTTTTCATCATGTTAATTTTTACAGTAGCCACCTTTTATGGTCAGTGAAATGGGTTTTTAATTTCTATAAATTCTCCTTTAAAAGTAAATCTGCGTAAGAAGGAAGACATTGTGGGGACTTCCCTGGTGGCACAGTGGTTGAGAATCTGCCTGCCAATGCAGGGGACACGGATTTGAGCCCTGGTCCGGGAAGATCCCACATGCTGTGGAGCAACTAAGCCCGTTCGTCATAACTACTGAGCCTGCGCTCTAGAGCCCACGAGGCACAACTACTGAGCCCGCAAGCCACAACTACTGAGTCCGTGAGCCACAACTACTGAAGCCAATGTGCCTAGAGCCCATGCTCCTCGACAAGAGAAGCCACCGCAATGAGAAGCCTGCACACCGCAACGAAGAGTAGCCCCTGTTCACTGCAACTAGAGAAAAGTCCGTGCGCAGCAATGAAGACCCAACACAGCCAAAAATAAATAAATAAACAAACAATTTTATTTAAAAAAAAGAGGGAAAACATTGTGTTAAATAAAAAATACATAATAACAAAAGTAGGACTGATGGTAGTGGGGATATGCGAAAAATCATGAAGGTGGTATGAGAAAAACCGATGTTTGGGAAACACAGATACGGGAATACGCTGGAAGAAATGAACATGGTCATACTGTTGACATCTGTATTTATCCAGCAGCTGCGATAGTCCAGGCACGTCTCTGGCACTTCATATGCTTTGTCTGTAAATATTGAAAAGTGAGGAGCTCAGAGAAGATTTTATGGAAAGGGGAAGCATGAAGCTGGGAATGGAGAAGGCTTGAATTGGGCTTTGTAGTTTGGGGTAGGTAGTGTGGAAGTGAAAGCGTGGGCGATCGTTAGTCAAATTCATTTCACCTGCCTTCATGAATCAAAAATACTTGCGTGTCCTCCAAGTGGCATGTAGCCTAAACAATAGGTCGCTTGCCCAAGTTGTTTTCCAGGAACCTGGAGTCAGCTTTGTCTAGTTTGAGCTGAGCTGGTTAAGACTGGATAGGACCACCAAGCCTCCAACTGGGCATGCGCGAGTGTCCACTCTCGGTGACCTTCTGACATCACAGGGCCAAAAACTCCACCTTCAGATCATGCTAAGCGCCTCCATTTTTTAATGTGCAGAGGCCTGTGGCTTAGTTAGCCCTGCACAGAATGATGATTGACTACTGCACCTTTTTCCAGTCACCTTTCCTTACAATCCTTGTGCTCCCCAAGCCTCAGACCGCCCTGCTTCTTTATTTTTTAATCCCCAAAATACCCCGCGCTCCTTGCCTTCTGGGAGGCGGCTCTGAGATGCCTCCTCACTTGGCTGCCTTTCAAATAAATCCTCTCTCTGCTGCAAAACTCAATGTCTCAGTGTTTTGGTCTGCTGCAAGTCAGGCAAAACAAACCTGGATTGGTAACAAAAGTATGGTAGAAATGAATTGGGATATCACTCATCATTTATTTAATATTCAGTAATGATTGATTGACCATCTACTGCATGCCAGTACCTATGCTTGCTGTTGAGGTTAAAACTAAATAAGATAAACATGGTTCCTGCTGTTGCAGAACTTGCACTTTAGTGGGAGAACGAGACCACTTAAAAAACCCCAGGGTTTAGTTGTGATGTGTGCTGTGAGAGGATAACAGGTGCTGAGGGACAAGGGGGTGGAAAGAGAAGAGCCTTCGATGACACTACAGCCAACACTTGAGGGATGAGAAGAAATGGCCTCAAGAACAAGGATGAGAAGGTAGAGCAGGGCCAAGGATTAGGGGTGGGGAAAAATCTTGGGATGCGTGAGGGTCTGAAAGAAAATAGGTGTGGCCAAACACAAAGGTGGGGTTGGTTGGGAATAGGTCAGCAGATCCTAGTGGGCCCTGCTGAGGATTCTATTCTAAGTGCAACGGAAAATAATTGAGAAGTTTCAAGCCAAGGTATGACAACATTCAATTTAAGATTTCAGTGTATTGGCATGGATATGCAATAATTACATAGTATGCTCTAAACGTAATTCCACATAAAATACGTCTGATATGAGAGGGTACACCTATTAGGTGCAGTAATTCTGCATTAATACTCCCAAAAGTAGCATTACAAGAGAGAAGTATTAATTCTACTTTTTAAAAATATTTGCAAGCTCCTTGCTTAGCTAGATTTGCACATCACCTCAGATTGAACTCTTCTAAAAATAGGTTATACCTGAGGCTTTTGGGCAAAGCAGCTGCAAATTTAGTTGAGTACCGTTACTCTATTTTTAATCCTTAGGTCAAGTCTTTCTTTCTCATAAATAAACTCCATACCGACCACTGTATATTTCAAGTGAGTGGTTTTGCCGATAAACACATGTCATTAATTGTGGGGTTATTCGTGAAAGTCTCTGAATGGACAGGAACTCTATTAAAATGAGGTCTGGAAGACTATTTTAAGTTGGGGTTGTTTTTTTGTTTTTTTATTGAGACCTTGGTCCATTCATGCTTTCATTGAGCCCGTTGCCAACTGCTTGCTAGCACGGTGGTCCTGTTCTAGTGGATGGATTCAGAAAGTGACTCTCTAACACGAGCTCATTGTAAATAGAGTAAACCAGGGAAGCAGCCACAGAGTTTCTCAAGGGTAAAAACATTCTGAATTGTTTTTAGGAGGGTTGACTTAAAAAAAAAAAATAATCTAAGCAAAAGCAGTGTTTGGTGTCAATCGGGTTTGCCCCGGATTCCAGTGCCCATTATTCCTTGCGGTGGCTGGGGGGAGGGGGGCTGTGGATGAGGTCTTCATCCCTCCTGTTTGTGTTCCTCTGACTTCAGCTGTCTCTCCCTATCTCTTTGCCGAGTCAGGCTGGGGCTGCCCTGCAGGTGGGAAGTGGTAAAGGCAACGGGAATTCTCCCAGGAGGAGAGGGATTGTATGCGATGGTGAGGAACAAGATTTAGCTGTTTGAGTTTGTAGGCTGGGGTAAACAGAGCCTGCTAGAGGCTCAGCCAACAGCGGCAGTGGTTCCTGTTTGGGCTGCACTTCTAGGAAGCGCGTGTCCTTGATCCCTCTTGTCCCCGCTCCTGGCAGGGATGTCCAGTTTGGGCTGGAATATGAAAGTGGAAATTGTGTCCCTGTCCTTTGAAATTTTGCACTCTGGTTCCTGGGAACAGGCAAAACTCCAATCCCTGTTCCCTCTAATTCCTTCAGGTGGTTCTTTTCCTGCCTTTCAGTGGAAACTCAGGTGCTGATTAATGTTCAGCTGAACATTTGAGACCCTTGGCAGTGTTCTTTATACAAAAATGCATGAGAAATAGTTTTAACTTTAAAAGTCTTACAGTACAGTGGATCATATATATGTTAAAATATAGTTACAATGCAACATATGTTTAGTGAGAACAGAAAGGAAGAGTCACTCTACCTTGATGTGGAAATTAGCATTTATTAAGCACCTACGATATGCCAGACTCTGAGCTAGTTATCTTACCTATGTTATGTTTTTCACTGCTATTAACAGCCCTGAGGTACGTACAAAACCCCACGTTTCATAGCTGAGAAAAATTAGGCTAACTGTTGAAAAACGAGTTGTCCACAGCCACATAGGTAAAGAGGAGAAAGGCAGTGTTTGAATCCCTCTCTCACTCCAAGAGCCATGCTATTCCTGCATGCCAAAATGCCTTTCAGGTAGGAAGAGGGGAAGAGCAGATCAGAAAAGACATTGAGAAGTGATGACATTCAAGCAGTAAGAAACCTGAAGAATTAGTAAATGTTTTTCAGGGAGAAAATGAAAGAAGGCAGTTCTAGCAAACATTTGCAAAAGTAGGAATTCTGAAAGATTGATCGTAACACTGTCAGGGAATGGAAATTAGTTTCGTGGAGCATATGCTCGTGCTGGCTTTGGAACTGGGGTGTGGAGACTAAAAGTTAGACTGGTAAGGCTGAGTTCAAGTAATAAAGGAGCTTGCTGAAAGGATTTAGGCTTCATCCTGATGGAACTTGTTTACTATGAAGACCAATCCACTCAAGATTGTGACTTAAGAAGCTCCATCTTCCTGCAATGCATAGCATAATTTGGGTAGGCATCTAGTGAAGAGTCTTATTGTTACTGTATACGGGTGAAGGCCCAGACAGTTT